GTCCTTATATATCCAATCTCTTCCTCATTGATGGAGTAGGATCACCTTGTCCAAGAGTGATGCTCACTGGCTCACTCCCTGATCCAGTGATCCTCGAAGGCTCACTTCGTGATCCAGTGATCCGTCACGTGACAGTTTGTGATGTAATCCGTAATACCCATTGTTCTGTTCCTGGCTTCTAATTCCAGTGGTTCTTGATGTACTCCCCTTGGCCCTCCAACAGGCCGTGGTATTTGTTGGTTCGTAACATAATGCCGCCTCTATGAATAACATAAGTGTTTTTTAGTTTTTCCTAGCCATAATCTTTTTTTAAACCAATTAGTTAATCTAAACGTAAAGCTTTTAAAGCGTACCACTTCTATCTTTTTATTAATCTTAGTTTTAACTTAAAGGTTACAACTGTGACGGCCTGCACAGACCTTCCCACATGACAAGCGGATACTTCCTAATAGGGGAAGGATCTGACCAGAGGATCCCCTTAAAGGGGCAACCTCCTACTGTACCTATCTCTCTCTCTCTCTTCCTTTCCTCTCTAGTCTTGATATTCTCGTCAATAGAGTAATAGCTGCTTGCTGCAGGCCATGTCCCAGCTCCTCAGTATGCTCGCCGTGACAACAACGCTTAAAAGCTACTACAAAGGTATCCTTTAAAGGGGCCTTAGTTTCTTTTTTAAAAAAGATTTTTTATTACTTCTACAGATTACAAAGTATAAAAAGGTTAAGCTTAGCTTTTTTTATAATAAAATCTACTTAGTTATAATCGTTCTTTACGTAAAAAAAAGTATTTAACATTATATATAAGTTTAATTTTAATAGGCTTATTATTAAGTTAGTTGAATAACGTTTAATATAAAATACCGTATTTTTAAACGTTTTTTTATAAATATAAGCCCTTATTTAAAATATGTAGAATAGCACTAGCCATCTAATCTTTTATATATAAATGAAAAGGTATTTTAAGCGCATATATAATACAACGTTATATATAAGATAAGGCTTTTAAAAATATACAGAAAACCGCAAATTTATTATTTAAAGTAAAAAACACAAAGTAATTAATAGCTAATTACGTAAACGCTACAAAGTAAATTTTATATTAAAACAAAGTGTCAAATTTCAAAGGGTTGACAAGCCTGTTGTCAGATTTGAGCCAACCGTCAGAGTGAAGTGTGTGTGTGTATTCTCTCTGTCTAGAGTGTCCTTGTGTGACCGTGGCAGTTTTGTGCCAGAGGGGGCTGGATCGGGACGGAACAACTAGGTTTCGTTGTCTACCTGTCAATGTGCCTTCTGGGCGTACCTTTAATCCAACACCTGTGGTCTTGAGCGGTAGCTGTTGAATACACGGATGTTGATTGATTCTATTGATTGTGTTCTTGTTCTGCGTGCAGAGATTGATCATCTGTCTTCTTGGTGGGTCAGATGCCCTGTGCGTCTCTGCCCCACTGGAGATCTTCCGGTGTCTATCTCCGGCTCCCATTCAACAGTAGCTGCAATGGTTGTTTATCATTTCTCAGCTATCCCAATTGGGTGGTATCTACACCTATTTGTACAGCTCCGGAGATGCCGGAGACGATCCTCCGGTCCACCTTTTCCCGAGTCAACGTACGATTCAGGGTGCTAGTCATGGCAGCCTCCTTGACTAGCCACCTGACTAGCCAGCACTCCACAGGGCATACACCCCTGGAGATCCCTTGAATCTGACACAAAGCTTAAAATCAAGGCTATTTAAAACACTAATTACATTTTGAATAATTTTAATATCGGGTTAAAAGCGTATAAGTAAAAATATGGGAGTTTAGGTAGTGATGGTAGGGTTTGGCTGTCCGACTAGTGGAAGTGTCCGACTTCTATGGGGGGATGGTATCTGATCCTACAACTCAGGTATTTGACATCAACGGAGTAATCGACCAATTCATGGCTTATTACCGACTAGGTTAGATGGGGATAGGCTACGATTCTCTATCCAAAGAAAACTATAGGGAGAGTTGGCGTCGGGATGTGGGATCTTCCTCTGACTGCCGACCTTCACTGCCCTACTCATTCGGATGGATGATCCCAGCCTGCTGGATGATGAGGTTGATGTCCTCATTGAGCGTATGCCGGTTACATGGAATCAAAAGTTCCCTGTAGGAGGTTCCTTCCGTCCGTATAAAGCGTCCCCGAGCCAGCCCTCAGATTCGATGATGAGCCAGCCTTCGGTCCCGACGATAAGCTATTTATTTTGGCTCATTTGCCCGGGTGGGGGATAGCAAGACTTGGCATCGATGGCGAGAGCTTGTTGGACAAGAAAGAATCCAGAAACGCCAGCAGGAACAGAAATAGGCGACGGACGTAACGTACCTAAGTCTATCAACCCTTCTCCTGTTTCTGCCGTGTACTCCCTCGCAACGATGCGACATCATCATCCCGCCTCTCGCAGGCGAGCGAACCCTAGCACATTTTGTTGCCTCATAATGTTCGAGATTAGACGAACTCCCGCCCCTCTTCGTGGCAGTAAGAGCAAAATCCGCACTCGATGCGGTGCCTATTGCGTGTACCAGAAGAGGAAGCGTTCTGCTGTGTCTTCCGCTTGGCCCCAGCGGATCTCGGATACCACTGCTCGATATAGCCTCACAGTCCTGGTGGCAGTTCAGTCTCGCCATGCTGGTTCGAAGTTGGACGGGAACGCTTTCTTCCTTCGAACTTCCGTCAGAAGCCAGGAGCTGGTTGGGTCAGTTCGGGACGGCCGACACTGCAGGTCTCTTAGAGAGATTGGATCTGTTGAGAATCCGTTCCTCACAGGAGCCAGGAGCGCCCCTGGTTAGGGAGTGACATCAAGTGGCTTCACATGTCTTCGGTTGATGGGCTGTAGCACCCTGGTCGTTACTTTCGTTGACTGCCTCTATCGCAATCTTCCCGGTCAACTCATCAGCCTTATGTGGGAACACAGCAAGAGATGAACCCTTGTCTCCTTTTGTCGGATTCAACACCCACACAGAGTGCGCGGTCATGCTGGAGATTGGCTCAGACGCAAGGCTTGATGCCTTCCCATGCGTTGCAACGGCTTCTTCATCGCCCCCAATACCAACTCCTGTTTCAGAACCGTACACATGAAAGCAACTCTACCATTGACTTATCCTCTGGGAGCCCTCCTGCTCCACAGCCACCTGGGAGAACGTCCCATCACTTGTTGCTTGTTCTAGGGCGTGCTGGGTAGCTCCCCGAGTGACCGTGGTTTCAGTGCCCGCGCAGTGCTCCAGATGGTCAGCGTTTTCTAGACATATGAAAGACAGTAGGTACTGACTCGACCTCGAGAATGGTTGGTCTTCCGAGCCTGTCAATCCACCGTGTTCTGTATTGTCGGATGTCTTCAAATAATCGTTACTGCCCCCTTGCAGCAAGACGAGTCCGTCGTTGTGTTAACTCGACCTGAGGTGACATTGTTGCTCAGAGACCTCAGAAGCATCTTCGTCATTTGGCAAACCGTTCAGAGAGTTGCTTCTGCCGGTTCGTCTCTCAGTAGACTGTGCGCGTGGGGTCTCCGATACACCACCGTACAAGTACCACGTCGACATCGCGAATATTGGCCGAGTCTTGCTTGGAAATACACTCTTTGAACATTTTGTTGAGTTAGCTGCTAAGCTGTTCTTGCCATCGCACACCTTGGTCAGCTTGGTTTGAAGGAGGTATCAGAGAATGCCGACCCCTACATGAACGCGGACGATCCGACACCAGCGCATCTACCAGAAGACAAAAACAAGGGGATTGACAGTAGTCAGATCTTACTGGCACTAAATCTTCACCGAAATCGCTGTGTCACGACGGGTGCTCCCGAAGTCGTCCAAGTGACTACTACTGTGATTGAAAATATGACTCAATGAACTTCGAGGCGACTCGGGATGAGTGTCGGTGGAAGGCAGAATCGACCCTTGGAGTTCGCACGTGCATATTTGACGTGCCAAATCTAACTTGTGGTTTTCGGTGCGGTTGGCATCGGGCTTCATCTCGATATACCAGCATCAAGGCTGTTAATTAACTTGCAACAGCTAGTTACCTAGTACATATGCCGTCTTTGATCAGGGGCCGTCGCGCCGTCGAGGGTGAAGCGGCAGAATTGACGGTGACCGTGGATTAATAAGCACGATAGTGACTGGGCGAATGTTCGTTCGCCGACGCTGTCCGTTTTATGAATTGTCAGGCAGAAAAGCAGTTGCAGTCTGGAGCCCGTCATACCGGGAATACAAACGGGGGGTGTGCGACATAGTCCCACCGACACCTAGTCAGGATCTAGTCAGATTATGACATCTTGTCTGCAGGTGTTCATCGTATATCTTCTATTCGCCTGCTCCTTACCGTGCATCTGCATCCGAGAGAGGAGCAACACGATTAAATCCCGAGAAGAAGGCATTGGTCTGTTGACGCCGAAGAAATAAGCGATATTCGTCTTGAGGGTGCATTTGAACGGAGTCATCAGGGCCAGACAAACGGTATTGGCCACAATGGGAGCTGATCTCACCTTGCACGCATGTTTGGTGTAGCAGGACAGCAGTTGGGAGTGAAGCCTGTGACTCCCATCGAACCTCAATATTGTGAGATATGCAAGAGGGCAGAAATGTTTACAAGTCCCGACTCTGTGTACGAAGTAGGTCGAGAGCCATGTGTGACCTCTGTATTCGTCTGTTGTCTGTGAGGTTCAGGGGAGAGAACCCCCCAAACCCGATAATATGGGACAATGGGAGTCATGCATACAACATGTGCTTATCCGAGCTTATCCTCCCCCGCGTTCGCAGCTAGGTAATTAGTGAGTCAATTATGACTCTCCTTATCAGAGAAGCCCGCTACTGTATTTTTGATAAGTAACCCCACCATCCACCATCCACCACCACCACCACCACGACTCACCCTAATTCAGATAGCTTTCACAAACATCCCACCTTAACTCGACCCGCTGGACAACTCTCGTCGCATTGCCATACATCGCGAACCCCGTCAAACGAACAGCGCGAGCGACACACCGCGAGAATGTCCGCTGTGCAGGATCTGGCCCAGCGGGCCAAGAACGACGAGAAGTGCTTCGTCGACACCGATGCGGGCAAGGATGACGAGACCGCAGACGGCTCCGAATACAAGCCCTACAAGACGCTGGCCTACGCATACATCCAGAACTACGAGAAGTCGACACCACAATATCAGACCCGAGCGTCCACGACCGGTGCTGTAGGCTCTGACGAAGACCCCTCCGTCAAGCTGCTGTGGAAGGAACCTGCAAAGAGCGCTGTCAAGAAAGCCCAGAGCGCCGTCGACGCCCACAAGAAGAAACTCCAGAGACAGCAACAGGCTGCTGCCGTTGAGGAGGAGCAAAAGAAGCAGCGACTACAGAACCTCGAGGCCGCGAAAAAGATTGTGCTGAAGCAAGATGAGTCATTGCCGGAGCCCGTCAAGATCAAGATCGGGCGCAAAGATATCGAGCTTGGAGAGGGTGACAAAAAGGGCACGCGAGTCAAGGTCATGGGACGGATTCACCGGCTGCGAGCTCAGAAGCAGGCTACCTTTATCACACTGGTTGATGGGCATGGACAACTGCAATGCGTCTTGATCGCTGGCGATCTGACAAAGACTTACGATGCTCTGACCTTTGCCCAGGGTACTTCCCTTGCGCTATATGGTAAGATGCGGAAGGTCCCTGCTGGACAGAAGGCGCCGGATGACCGTGAGTTGCATGTCGACTACTACGAGGTCCTCGGCGCATCTCCCAGCGACGAAGATGCCATTACCAGCCGAGTCTCGGCCCAGCAGAACCAATGGGATGCCCAGATGCTTGACAACAGACACTTGGTACTTCGGGGTGAGAACGCATCGTCTCTCATGAAGATCAGAGCTGCCACCGAGGGAGCTTTCCAGCAGGTGTACAAAGATTTGCAGCTTACCAAAGTCTCCCCCCCTGCCTTGGTGCAAACCCAGGTTGAAGGTGGCGCCACTCTCTTCAGTGCACCGTACTACGACGAGATGGCCTACCTGACTCAATCATCACAGCTCTATCTCGAGACCGTCATTCCGAGCCTGGGAGATGTTTACTGCATTGAGAAGTCTTTCCGTGCCGAGAAGAGTTTGACGCGTCGTCACCTTTCTGAGTACACCCACGTCGAAGCTGAGCTGGACTTTATTGATTTCAGCGACCTTTTGGTTCACCTAGAAGAGGTCATCTGCCGCGTTATTGATATCGTACTGGACGACCCGACTATCGCAGTCTACATCAAGGAGCTCAACCCCACATTCCAGAAGCCCTCGCGCCCATTCATGCGCATGAAGTACACGGACGCCATTGACTGGCTCAATGCGCAAGATCCTCCCATCCTCAACGAGGAGGGCAACCCCCACGTATTCGGAGACGACATTGCCGAGGCTGCCGAGCGGAAGATGACTGATATCATCAACCTACCCATTTTCCTGACGCACTTCCCCGTCGAGATCAAGGCCTTTTACATGAAGAAGGACCCAGCCGACTTGCGGGTCACTGAGAGTGTAGACTGTCTGATGCCCGGCGTAGGTGAGATCGTCGGTGGCAGTATGAGAATGGAAGGGTACGAAGAGCTTCTTGAGGCATACAAGAAGCAGGGGATTGACGCGAAGGACTACTACTGGTACACTGACCAGCGAAAGTGAGTTTGCCCCCGCATGTGTGTCGTTGATACTTCCCAATGACTAACTTACTAAAGGTACGGCACTTCTCCCCACGGTGGATATGGTCTTGGTCTCGAGCGGTTCCTGGCGTGGATCGCCAACCAGCACACGGTCCGGACGACGTGTCTATATCCTCGTTTCATGGGCCGATGCAAGCCTTGATCTAAGTCTGAAGTAGGAAACCACAGTAGAACTGGGATGGAACCAGACAAGGAGTTACGGAAAGCGTATACCGCCCTCGGCATTTAGCGTCTCTTCTGACTACCACTTGCTTCGGAATAGATCTGGCTTCCCAGAGGAGCCTTGCACCTCATCGTCACCTTTGTCCCTGTGAAGTTTTGCGTGAACGTGCAATGTGTCGCCAGCCCCTCGTGTGCTATGAGAGGACTGTCGGGCCTCAGAGATCCATAGATTTGATACCGGTACTGTACCAAATGCCTGTAAGTAATGGCTCTCGGCGCACACCCTGTGTCAGTCACCTCAAGGGACAATGACGGATGTATCTTTAACCAACTAAACGTCTAGCCCAGAGCGCTTATACTAAACATGGTAAATACCCTTACTTGTTTACTGCCTTGATCAAGTGGTGCATTGGGACTTTTGAGTCTTCCGCGTGCTGGGACGCTTTCCTCCCTGTCAAGGCTCTCGGAGGACTATCACGAGGCAGCCGCACAATTTACATGCTCATCTCCACGATAGCTTTCAGGTATATCGACGGAGCGGCACGAGGGATCGTGGCTGCGTATCTGATGGGAGGCATGTGAGCTAATGCAAGCCTCCAGCAATGTCATCTTTGCTCGGGACGGGAATGGCGTGCGTCTGTCCTCTGACGGGATGCTGGGTAAAACCTTCTTACGCCACTGCTGTGGTTCCTCCTCGGTACTCGATGCTTGTTTAGGAGGCTTTGAAGTTGTACCGTGTTGGCCGTGACTTACTTGCCCAGGCTTTTTGATGAATCGGCATCTGGACTCGATGGCTACGTCCAAGGCTTCCATGTCGCTACTATAAAGGACACGGAAATGGCGTGCAGGGTCTCTCCCAAAGCGGTTCACACAATCTGCCTTTCTCTTTCATGGCCAGGTACATTATTTAGAGTTCAATGGGGTACGTCCTGTTTTAACGCAAACCTCCCTGTCGGGCCCTCTGTGACCACGTATCATCGATCGTAGCCGACACTCGATCCGTAAGCAATTACGTACGTGCCATCCCGGCTTCCGCAATCGTCACGCTCTCCGCTTTGTCGTTCATGATCAATACCGGCAGCAGAAAGATCTGGACCCGGGGCACCCGCCGGGACGCTGCAGAGGCGCCGGGACGCCGTGTTACAAGGCCGGCAAGTGGGGAGGGTCCAAGCACCCGGGCAACCGGAGGTCTTGCTGGTGCGCGACAAAATGAGGCTATTAGGCTGGTGTTGTACGATGTATGTTGTTATTGCCATACATGAGGGCGGATAGGATGAATGGAACGGGGGATGCTGGGGATGCTGGGGATGCTGGGGATGCTGGGGATGCTCGTGTTGTTTTGTTGTGGATGGAAGGGACAATTCTGACATTCACATGATATCATTGACAGCATGGAACTTCCGGACTGGACTTGACAAATGAGTGTGGCGTGGTTTGGTATGGCGCGGCGAATGCCCTCGGGCCTCGGGAGCATCGTGGGATCCAAAAAAAGAAATTAAAGTTGAAAAAGAGAAAAGTGTCGTGAGCGTGCCGCCATCGCATTGGCGCTAGCGTTGTGCGTCGGGTACCTTGCCGTAGCGCCATGTGGGGTTGGGGTCGCGCTTGCCTGACTCGGGAAGTTGCCATTTGGGGCCAAGAAATAGGGGGTACACGTGCGGTACTCCGGTTCATGTTTGACGATAGGGGTCGCGATGATCGTTACGGTGCCCATGCGTTGCAGGCTGTGAGGTCGTGCTGGACCCTGGAAGTGCGTACCTTATGCATTTGTGAACTCGGTCACAGGTATAGTCTGGGGTGTTTCACATGAACGTCGGCCATGTGTTGAAATAGGGAGCTCGTCTGGGTGCTTTCTGGCCTTGACCTCGGGTCATGGAAAGGCACAGCCTGATAGTATTGTGTCGGCGGCAAACCTAGGTCAACTAGTTATTAACCCCGCGAACAGGTTGCTGAGAAGGCCGGGGCAGTCCGCCATTTGCTACTGGCATAATGATACTCAGTCAAGATAGACAATCGTTAAGGGCTACCACCTGAATCGGGTGACACTGCAATGCAGTTTCATCCGTGTGTCTCGCCAGTGGCTGTGAGCTGAAGATATATAAAGATCCACACGCCCTACCCCTACCGGCAGCAAATGGGGAACGGTGTATCCAGACTCTCTGCATCAACCCCTGACTGCGCGCGGACGTGTAACCCGGGTCACACTGTCAGTCTGCCGAAGCTGATGGATATACATAGATGCAACCACCCCAATGTACGTCAAGATGCGAAGCCTTGCGTGAATGAACTTGGGGCATATGTGGTGAGATAGGCGGCGGCAAGCAGGATGGATAAGATGTCCATGGCTATTGGCTGATACACTGGGATTCGGAAATTTGAGGCTTGCCGTGCTCAATTAAAGCCACGATCTAGGGTCCACTGGAGACAAGACCCCGTGAAGAAGGGTCCGGGTCTAGAGAGTGGATTTCCCTCTTTTTGCGGATCGAAAGGTTGCAAGTGGTGTCATACTTGATAGTGCCACGTTGACGGACGACGTTTGGAGAGGCTCGACTTTGAGGCAGTGGTGATTCCTGTTTGTATATAACCTCCCATGACTGAACCCGGGTGACAGCATAACAGGAGAGGCTGCGGCCACTTGTCCCCGGGCATTGGACTGACCGTTGATTTGGTGTAGGTAGCGTTGCGCCGGCACTTCAATGTCCAACCGAATCGTGGAGGGGCAATCAACAAATCAATTGCCAGGCCAAGCACAAATGCTAGTAGCGGGTTCATGTTGTTATTCCCAGGAGAAACGTCGCGTGATGGGAGAGCCTTCCCAACTGCCGTCATCAATTGACGGGTCTTTGAGAGAATGAAGAAGTACCCAAGTTAGCAGTACTTGTACCACTCAGGGTTGAGTTATATGTGTCGCTACTTCCTCTCTAACAGCGATATGCGCCCCTGCCCGTACTTACAGGAGGTAGTCGATTCGGGCCTAGCTCCGTTGGCAAGCAGACGAGATGGAGATGGAGATGGACTCATTAAAACTAGCGCCCCAGTTATGCCAATATGCACCAGCCCCGGTTGCCCAATGGGAGACGCCCATTTTGCCTGCTCCTCCTCTCCTTCTCACCATCTACTGTCCATTCTACCGACCACACCTCCTTTTGGTGGTCTTCTCTCCTTACCGAATAGCGTTTCCTTTCCTTTTCCCCTACCTCCCTATCCTCTATCCTCTATCCTCTATCCTCTTCCGCCCCGTCCTCCGGTATCTTCAACCTATTCAATCCTTCTCTACCGGCTTCATTGCCTTCGGATCTTCTCCATCTTTCATTCACGTTTGCCTACGCTCGTTCACTATAGCTTCTTAATATCCGTACATCTTACACGCCAAGATTCATCCCTTTCTCGGGCTCGCGCGCCAGGCACCTCAGCTTATCTCACCGATCTTCGTCCCGTCCACGTCCGCTCTACCCTCAGCCTTGTGTCGGTAGTGTCAGCTGGAACAGGAAACGCAAGCCTTTGTTGTCTGCCCGTCTACTTTCTCGACGCTCGTTTCTGGCATCTCTCCACTGCGCTCGCTTTCTTTGGAGCAGCATCTTTGCCTTGTCTTTGTTCGACGTAGCCGGCCGACGACGATTACCCCTATCAAAGGAAACAGGTGCCAATCTTCGACAAACAACCGCTTCCTCCCTCTCGACATCGCCTTCTGGGACCCTGACCAACTCTGGGTGATCTTGCGAGCTTGTACGGCACACTCTCTTCGACAACTTCGACCGCGGCCGATCCGACCATTGCTATCCCGATAGCTCGAATCGACACTCCATCGACCTGTTGCATATAGTCTATATCCACCTCTATCGGCGATCTCTTTGCTCAAGTAGAGATACCCGATCTGTTATTAAACTATTTTGTTTGCCCAAACTTCGACTTGCGCAGTTTCCACTGGGCCAACAGCTGTTATAATACCACCGTTGCTTGCTACGGCTGAAGCGTGCATACCAAAGCTTCACCCTACTCGTTCTCGCTTCGTGCCTTGTTCCGGGCACGTCTAATCTTTCAAAACGGCGATTCTTTCACACGTCTCACGGGACAGCTCTGTCCCTCCTCATCTTCTCGGGATGCAGGACCTCTCCATCTCAGGTGGGATCCCCACTGGCCCTTCTGGCAACCAAAATCGATTCGGCCATGCCTCCAAGCCGTCCAACAGCGACACCGGCTTCTCCCATGGTGCCTTCGCTGGCAATTCGTTCACCGGCCCGTCCTCTGGGTTCGCTGACCGACGCCGCGGCAACATTCCTTCCATCAACACTCAGCCCATGAACCCGCAGATCAACACTCAGGTCAACACCCACCAGATGGGCCAGCACGCACACCAGAACGGCGCCGACATCATGACCCCCGGCACCGCCTTTGATATGCAGTTCACGCCCCTGCTGCCTTCGCAGCTGCTCCTTGGCAGCCCCTTCCAGCCTGGAAGTCCGGGTGCCTTTGCCAGTCCTCAGTTCCAGAACTTGTCTGCTTTCCAGCAGCACAATGGCCAGCAGCAGCAGAATGGCATGGGCAGTCATATGCAACAAAACATGTCTTCTCAGGCTTATCAGTCCATCGTCTCGCCTTCCACTTATGGCGCGCCCCAGTTCTACCAGCCTCAATCCCCAACTGGCACGTATAACAACATGAACGGCCAGATGCAGATGCAGCCCCAGTCGCCGACCATGGGTTCTGGCATGATCACGGGGACCAGCCGAACTGTCTATCTCGGCAATATTCCTCCTGACACCTCAGCCGAGGAGATCCTCGGCCATGTGAGAAGTGGCCAGATCGAGTCGGTTCGACTCCTCCCTGACAAGAACTGTGCTTTTATCTCTTTCCTCGACGCCAATGCTGCAACACACTTCCACTCGGATGCCATCTTGAAAAAGCTCTGCATCAAGGGACAGGATATCAAGATTGGTTGGGGCAAGCCTTCTCAGGTTCCCACTTCGGTGGCCCTTGCTGTGCAGCAGTCTGGCGCATCCCGAAATGTCTACCTCGGCAATCTGCCAGATGATATTGCCGATGAGGAGCTGCGCGAGGACTTGGGGAAATTCGGGCCAATTGACACCATCAAGCTCGTCCGGGAGAAGAACATCGCTTTTGTTCACTTCCTCTCGGTTGCCAATGCCATGAAGGCGGTTCAGCAGTTGCCGCAGGAGCCCAAGTGGCAATCGCCTCGCCGTGTGTACTACGGCAAGGACCGATGCGCCTACGTCTCCAAGACCCAGCAGCAGAATGCGGCTCAGTATCTGGGTATTGCTCCTGGGTATGCTCACATGTTGACTGGACAGGATCGCGACGTGATTTCTAGCGCCCTGGCTCAGCAATCTGTGGCGGCGGCGGCGGTTGCTACCACAGCTGGTGGCATCAACAACCTCGGCAACCGGACCATCTACTTGGGAAACATCCACCCAGAGACCACGATCGAGGAGATCTGCAACGTGGTACGAGGAGGTCTGCTTCACCACATTCGATATATTCCCGACAAGCACATTTGCTTCGTCACCTTCATTGACCCAACTGCGGCTGCCTCGTTCTACGCTTTGAGCAACTTGCAGGGCTTGATGATTCACAATCGTCGCTTGAAGATTGGTTGGGGAAAGCACTCTGGGGCTCTTCCACCAGCGATTGCTTTGGCTGTTAGTGGCGGTGCTTCTCGTAATGTCTACATCGGCAACCTGGATGAGACCTGGACCGAGGAGAGACTGCGACAGGACTTTTCCGAATTTGGTGAAATTGAGCTTGTCAACACGCTGCGCGAGAAGAGCTGTGCTTTTGTAAACTTCACAAACATTGCAAACGCCATCAAGGCCATTGAAGCGATTCGCAGCAAAGAGGAGTACAGGAAGTTCAAGGTGAACTTTGGCAAGGACCGATGCGGAAACCAGCCCCGACAACTTCAGCAGCAAGCCCAGTCGCCTCGTGGAGAGGGAGTGCCCTCGCCTCCCCCAGTCGGTAGTGGAAGCGGCAACTCTCCCACGAACCCGACCTCGCCACAATCTGCCAACAGCACCAACCTGTTCGCCAATGGCAACAACCCACTTAGCGTATACCTGAGTCAGGTATCCCAACAGGCTCATCAACAGCAGCACCAACAACACCAGATGTTGGCTAACCAGCAAGCCGCGCTGTTCGGTACGGTTCAATCTCCCAACGATCTGACACTGGAGGTCCCACAGCAAGGCCACGTCTTAGGGCATGGTCAGTCAGCCAGCATCTCGAACGGGTATGCCATGAACGGGCCCGTCTCTGGTGCAACTACTATTGGTGGTCTTCTTGCTCCGGCGCGTGGACAGCACAGCCGTGCAGTAAGCCTTCCTGCCTTCGCCCCTGGATTTGAGAATGGCGACAGCAACAGCTCCGTCAGCATGCTCGGGGGTATCAACGAAGGAGAGCGCAGAGGACACCAATATCAATCGAGCTTCGGCGGTATTGGCTCCGGTTTCGGCCTTGCCATTCAGGGCGGGCTCAACGGATGGGTAGAAGAGGAGGTGGCCAATTAAGTGGCAATAGGGCTTGGAAGGTGGTGACCAGGCAAAGACTAATATGTTGTAATTGCTGCGTTGATTTACTCGGGAGTCGTTTCTGTGGCTCTGCTTATCATTTCCTGTACGATTTTCGCAAACCTGGCATGACTAGCCGGTCCCTCGATCTGCTGGAGGAGTAGGTCGACGCTCGACCGCTGACGCCGAGACAACGGGTTTCGGCTATTGTCAATTTGGATGGTCGACCATGAGCTAGGAGATGCTTGATAGCTGGATGTCCGAAATGAGGTCCCAAACGTGTTGGGATGTAAAAGGGGTCAGGTCACAGGATATGGATCGCGCCTAGATTATCATCGGCAGCATCTTATCTTCGGGAGACATCAGTATCATCAGTATCATTAGCTCTGTCGTCGTCAGAGCGTACACCTGGCTTGACAGGTTAGGAGGATATAATACAGCAGAGATGAGAAAGAGAGCAGAGTAATGAGTGTGTCTTGACGACCGTGATATGTTAGCCTGTTGATGTACTTCCTGATCATTCAGCTGGTATTCCGATGATCCTAAATGCCGCCGTTCTCATAATACGCCATGATGGTTGTCATCTTGACAATACCTCTTAGCTGTCAGCGACACAACACGTCCATGAATAGAACACCCTGCTGCCCTGCATCAAGAGATATTCTAGCAGGAGTGCCACATGCCTGCTCCCAAACGCTCGGCTGCAGCAATACATGTATGTGCTAGATGAGTGACTTGTTTCCCCGCGCTCGCGTATTCTAAGAGTGTCGCTTGGCTTACGTGAATCGAGCAAGCGATCGACGGAGAGGAGAGGAGAGGGTAGGTAAGTAGTGATACGCCCACACATGTTTGCGAGTTTTGCGGATGTGCCGGAGAGCCAGGTTTCATTGGAACTCACCTTGTAAATGAGATGGCTTCCTGGAAATAGGGGATACCGTCTATGACCCTGATACGAATGAGTGTTGCTGGGCGTGGCCCAGTAAGAGCGGAACGGCACCCCCCTTTTTATCCTACTTTTGTTGTTGTTGTAGGTTTTCTTTTTTTTGCCGTGTAGCCAACTGCATTGACCGATCCCTTGATAAACAGTTGAGGAAGTATCTTACGTGAGTGCACCCTTGTCACCTAGGAGCTGGATGTTCCTCGATGGGCAGTTGCTTCGAAATATAATGGAATGACACCTATGATGGCTTCGACCTATTATTTCGGAATGTATTCATGCAGTTCAGCATCAACGACTATGAATGCGTGGTAATGTACATGAAGAGCATCGCAGACAACCGTCGTAGCCGATGATGTATTATCATGCAGGCCGCCCCGTCCTTCATGCTCGAAGCCTTGATCTGCAGCGCCTAGTCGTCACCACACCTATATCTATAGTAGCTCGTGTGAACCCAGAACGGCGGCGAATGGACTGCGGGGCGTGGTGTAAGCTCTGTCACTTGGCATTGGGCGCCAGGCACAACTGGCTGGCACTGACCGTCCCAAGGGCTCGATGATTATCTACATCAATACCCAGCTGGCTCGGGCTTGTCCGGGAACGTGGGCGCTCGCACATCCGCGGCGCACTGCTGCTTCCAGTTCGTCGGGACGAACTTGTCAACGATGGCCTTGAAAGCCTCCTACATCACATCTTGATTAGCGTTCCTCGTGACGTTCGCCAGGGCCCCTACTGATCTGTTAAAGAACGGGTGGAAGGGGGACATACCAATGTGCAGAAGCTCTCGTCCCCGTCCAAGTGCTTGCCTTGCGGTTTACATCCCGGCACCTTGACAACTTCGTCGTTATACCGTAAACGCACATAGTAGCCTTCAAGTTTTGCTTTCTCCTCTGCAGAAAGCTCCCCGGTGCGTTTACGACCGATGCCCGGTGGCGGGGTGCCCGGTTTAGCACGCGCGGAATCCGCAGAGGTCCATGAGAACAGTGAGCTGAACCAACTGGGCTTGGCATTTGCACCGCTGGCCGTGCAACTTTTCGTAGGCGGGATCGCTGCCTGCGAATTGCCGGGCGGCCCAGGCGGTGACCCGGCCTCTGCTTTCCGGAACATTTCTATAGCGATATGACTTGTATACGGCGGCCACTTGTCTCCCTCGAAAGCACCCATACTAGCTAGCACCGCCGCGAGGGTAGTATCGTGACATCCGCTCAGTCCGAATCGGATGGGGGTGGCGCCTTTGCCGTCTTGTAGATGCTTGTCGTCCAGAGCCCTCGCAATCTCGTACTCGCCATCGGCGGTCGACTGCTCGGCGCTGCCTACCATCCTGCTGACAACATCACCCATCAGGCCTCCGATACCAAGTACTCGGTACTCCTGACTCTCTTCATAGCCCGAAAACCACTCTTCTACCCCAATCTTCTCGATGATGTCCCGACCCTTCTTGTCGTAAAACTCCTTCGGAAGGCGTGTCTCCGGGCCATGTGCAAGGGTCGAGTTGATCGTATCCATGATTCCGCTCAGTCGTGGTCTTGAATCTACGGCTACTTGTGGAGAGTCCTCGGGCATCCATTTCGACCAGAGCTTATTTAGATAGGCCATATCGTCGGTTGTGTTCCAGCGCTCAGCAGTGCGCTGAGCAAAGGCGCGCGATAGAGCCGCAAACCGCCTGCAGTTGCTGTCATTCGGGAATAATGTCTCGTCGGCGGGAGCTCTTGTGAGGATGGCTGGAGGAGGAAACGCCGGAGCGCGCTTGTGTGTCGGGTAGAGTCCCCAGAAGGTCTCCTGAAGGGATTCGAGCGCACGGGGTATTGGTGTAGCGCGCAAGTACATGGAGTCGGCGTCCTTGAGGACAGGGGGTAGAAAGTGCAGCTGATTGACGTAGAGATGCCGTAGGCGTCTACCCAGATCGAAGGTCGTCTGTCGTCCGCGGTCGGTCAACATGCCCATATCGCAGATGGCGTCGAGCTCGCCTGCCGGGCCGGCGGCTAGTACGGGCTCATCGTTTGGGCCGAAGCTCTCCAGCCGCCGTCTCCATTCCATGGTGGTGAACTGGCCCGTCGTGCGGTCGAGGACGGCGGATTTCAGCTGGCGGACGGCGTTGCAGTAAGGCCAGAAGGCGGGAAGGCCGGCATTCTGGAAGCGTGCCGAGACGGGTGAGCGCTCGCCGTGTCGCAAAAGTATCTGCACGAGCTGGAGCTCGAGCTTAGCCGGAAACAAGGTCTTGAGCTCGTCTTGGGTGTAGGGAGAGCGGGGGGTGAGTGAGGTCATCGTGAAATGCGTTGCTCTAATCGACGGAGAGATCAGAGCTGGTCAATCGAGGTGGAGGACCGAACTGGATATGTCCAATTGGAGGACAACGAGAAGCGAATCTGCAAGGAATGGTCCTGCCGGTAGATAGGATCTCGTATCCTACTAGCAGCCTACTAGATACCTGGGTAATTCGCCTGCATACATACCCCAGAGCTTGTAGGATTGGAAGCGGAAGACGACTGCAGGTGAGGTCGGATCTGAGGTCGGACAGCGCCACTGAAGCTTCGGTTCGGTTGGATACACGGCGTTAACGGGGGTAGCTCTGGATGGCCCGAGCTCCAATCGGCACCGGAAGGCCGTCTCGACCGCTGCCGCCCGTGTCAAAAGCTCAAGACCGGGACCATCAAATCTCCAACCTCCGACAAGACGGAATCAATTGGGCCACAGCCAGGGTGGCGCGATAGAACACCGCGACTTCGATACGGACACGATCCCTCCCGATGTTATGAAGGGCTCAAGGTCTGTTTGCCTGCTATGTCGACACCAGCTTGCGACAGCAGGTAAACTGCGCGCGACGCAATGGCAGGCCCAGGCAGCCCTCTTCTCGACCACCACCCCGAGGGCCGATGACACCGCCGAACCAGCAGCCGGCCAGTCAGCCTCCAATATATTTCGCCGGGTATCCATCGAGCATTCCCCACGCGAGCCCAGAGTCAAGCTATCACAAGCCAAACCGAGGAAACCCCCCGAGAAGCCATCCGCGCGGGTCGATGCCCTCTTCCAGCAGATCATCCAGGAGCAACATGAACAGCATGGGCAACATGGGCATCATGAGCAGCTAAAGCAAAGGCAAGGCCATGGAGGGCAACCCGAAGCTCCTGCGAACGGCAGTACCAACGTTGACCTGGAATTGGTCCAAGCCATCGGAAAGCTCCAGGCCATGGTCGAGAGTGATGCACCCGTAGCAGATGCCTTTGCATATCTCAAAGCCGAGATATATCCTACCGTTCAGATCCCGAATATCAACATTCCGCAGGTGTATTTTAGGGTCGTGTCTGATCTGTTAGACAAGGTTTTCGAAGCCAAGAAAGCCGACATGCACACGGATGGCCTTCCGACTGCGGCTGACATCTTCCGCGTCTATGTCGACATTGGCGAGTTGAAGCCTCGGCGATGGGCCAACCTGGTGGGCAAGCTGGTAGAAATTGTGGCATGCGCCCAATACCCACCCGAGCTGGATCTGGGGAAAAGGGAAGCTATGAGGCAGGCAATGCTCGTAGACCTCGTCGAGTCATGGAAAGTCCTGTCCCTGCCAAAGATTGCTTTAACGCCAACCAATGGCGACAAGATCACTGATGGGTTCTGGTTTCCCAGGCCTGACAAATTCTCTCTTCTAAAGTTCTCCAAGAAGGGCAACTTTCCTGTGGCCTTCAGCACCGTTTTCCCGCAATACCATCCGACCGAGTTAGGCGCTCCTGTCGCAGTTCTGGCCGTGGCTACTTATGCCCTGCTGCTCGACGGTCAGCCGAGTTCTGTGAACGCTAGACGGAGTGCAGCGCGCTTCATGTCGAAAGTGGCCTACATGATCACCCTTGTACAGTATCGGGATCAGACTCTCCGGAAAGATGTAGCGCACTGGTTCAAACCTCTGGAGGAATACGTCATGACGCAATGGCCCATCATCAAGGATCATCTGAAGGCTCAAGTCGAGTCGATGGACAGATCGACCAGGACCGCACAGCAACCTAGCGGATCATCGTCAGCAACCCATGTTCCAAGCACGATACCTGCAGCCTCTATAGGCCGCCGCCTCGCCCAGGCTTACGGGACTCGTAATGATCTCGAGGTGGACAGACTTTGGCAGGAGTTTGTGGGGTCCGAGAAGGATATATCAGCGGAGAGGGCGGCAGAGCTTCGACAGCACCCTGATCTCATTGATTCTTTCATCAACACGCGCATGGCGCTCAACCGTCCCCATAAAGCGATAGCCGCATGGGGCGTATTGAGCAAGATTGGACTGAAGCCAACTTTGAGAACCTGGAACGTGATGCTTGATGGGTGTAAGAAGGCAGGAAATGCGAATTTCATCAAGAACATATGGGCGAAACTCGCTGCATCGGGTACAGAACTCGACACCGCAGTTTGGACGACGCGCGTATCCGGGCTGATCGAGTGTGGCGATCTTGAGGCTGGAATTATGGCACTAGAGGAAATGACCAACTTATGGAAAGCCGCGTCGAAGGATAAAAAGTTGACCGCTGTCAAACCTTCTATAGAGCCCGTCAATGCCGCTCTCGCGGGGCTCATTCGCCAGAAGCAGGAGGCTGCCGCCGAGAAACTTCTGGCCTGGGCCAGCCGACATGGCATCGAGCCTGACATCTTTACCTTCAACACTCTACTACGACCTCTGATCCGCGACGGCAACCGCGACGGAGACGTCCATAGACTTTTCAGCACTATGCAAACCTTCGGCGTGCGCGCAGATGCCGCGACTTTCACCGTCGTGCTCGACGCTGCGTACTCGAAGATCGACCCCCAAGATTCGGCGGCGCAGACCAAGGTTGTTCAAGACGTCCTTGCGTCGATGAAGGCCGCCGGGCTGGAGAGCAACCTCCAGACTTACGGCAAGATGATCTACCTGCTCCTGCGTTCCAACGCCAGGCAGGCTGTCGAACTGGTCGTGAACCAGCTGTGGGCCGAGGGTCACGAGTTCTCGCCGCACATCTACACGATGCTGGTGGAGGACTACTTCGCGCGCCGCCCCCCGAACCTCAAGGCCGTCGACGACCTCGTGGAGCGCCGCCGCCTGCTCGACTACGACGACATGGACCGCGTCTTCTACGACCGCGTCATCAAGGGCTACGCGCTCGTCGGCCGCACCGACACCGCCCTCGAGATGTACTACCGCCTCAGCGACGGCGTGCGCGTCAACCTCGGCACGCAGGCGGATCTTGTCAACAAGCTCATCGAGCAGGGCAGGCTTGAGGACGCGCGGGCGCTGGTCAATAGGACGAAGCGCCGCTTCGAGGCGGAAAACCCGGGTGCGACTGAGGAGCACCGCTTCTGGTCGCATCACTTCTGGCACCAGGCTGCTCGGTACGGGCTGATTGAGAGGAGCGCACCGGCTGGTGCGACGGGGGCTGCTTCGGCATCTGGTATAGATGTGTCGTCAGAGGAGGATACCTCTTCCTTTACTTGAAAGCTCGGGTATCATATCATGTGCAGATAAATGTGTAGGTAGCTTATATGTACAGGACAAATCCAACATGTAAATTGATCGATCATCGATGTATACAATAGGTCTGATCACAGAACCAAGCCCGCGTAAAGTATCAATGGAAACCAAGCCGAGGCTTCCTTTCTTTCCTGAAGTGACAACGCCCAGACCCTCCAACGCCCGCGCCCGCGCCCCCCTTTCCCTTATACGCCTGAACAACATCGTGAAACATGAACATGAACAGCATTGCCGCAACCCTCGTCACGACTCATCCATCTGCTCCCTCACAGGCGACAACCCTCCCGCCAGCTCAGCAGCAACGGCGTCACCATTTCCATTCTCATTCTCATTGACTTGATTATGACCATTACCGCCACCGCCACCACTCCCCCCTAAAATAGCTACCACCCTCTCCAGCCCCTCCACCTCGCCGCGGGCCAGGTTCCGCCCCTCGCCCTGCCACTCCCCGTCGCGGACCTCGCCATCGCGGCCCAGCTCCAGGCCCTGCACCGTCTCGAGGTGGCGGCGCGTCGCGCCCTCGACGTACTCCAGACGCTCCCTGCGCCAGCTCTTGCGCTGCTGCACGCCATCAGACATGCTGCTGTCGCCGTCGGCGTCCACCACAGAAGAGGAGGCTTTTTTCAGGTCCGGCGTCATATTCGAGAGGGACGTCGACAGCGCGCGCAGTGCCTGCATCTGCGAGAGCGTGAACGCCGTCGTGGTGCCGAGCGGGGCGTCGGCGCCGCCGCCTGTGAGAGTGTCGCCCTTTTGGTGGAGGAAGGCGAAGGGACTGCTGCTGCTGGTGGTGTCTTCTTTCTCTGTTTTCGTCGCGCTGCCCTGTTTTGGTACAAGCGATTCCGTGGTATTGTGGTGGTGGTGCGGCGACACGGACTCGGTCTTGACGGTGCCGGCGGACCCGGGGGCGCCGACGAGGCTGTGTAGTTTTTCGAGCATGTGCTCGTTTTGTGTGTGTTCGCGCGTCAGCAGCGTGTTGAGGCGCATGCTCTCGCGCAGCTTGCGGCGGAGGTGGTTGATGGAGTCGAGGCTGGGCGCGTCATTCTTGGTGGTGTCGTTGGCGTTGCTGCTGCTGCCTCCTCCTCCTCCTCCTCCTCCTCCTCCGGCAGAAGGCGAGGCCAAGGAGGAAGAAAAGTCCAGGCCCTCGTAGTGCGACAGGCGCATCCAACCGCGCACGGCGGGCGGGCGCACCGTCAGGATGTTGCGCAGCACGTAGATCTCGAACTTGTCGAAGTTGCGGTCGATGCTGGCGCACAGCAGGGTCTCGAGCTGGTGCGTGCCGGCCTCGATCTCCATCTTGGTGCGCTCCTCGAAGGCCTGCTTCTCCTCCTGCGCAGCTGCTGCGGCGACGGCGGCGGCATCTTGGGAGTTGTGCTTGGGATTCCTGGAGGAGAGCTTGAAGCCGAGGTTCTTGGGGGGCTGGGCGAGGAGGTGGGACTCGATGCTGTTGAGGGCTCGCGTGGCTTGGAAGTTCGCGGCGTTGATTATGTCGTCGATGATGCTCTAGGGTTGGGGCGCCTGGGGTTAGTCGGGGGTTTTGTTGTCAAGTCAATGCGCCATTGCACGAGATGGGGGTACTGACAACTGGAGCATACCCGAGGTGCTCGGTCAGCAGCTCGGTGTCTGAGTATTCGGTCGCTGTCATGGTGCATGGTATCTCGTCGTTGACGCCGTCGGACGAGGGTAGTTCGGCTGCATCGAAAACGCGTCGCGACTTTTTAATGGAGTTGAAAGTCAATATTTGGTTACATCCGATGTTGGGTTTGGAGGGGTGACGCCCAGGTCCACAATTTAATTGTTAGCCATCAACTACTACATAGGAGTAAATCTAACCCCTATCAGACCGTCAAACCGATCAAAAACCTTTGTTGCTTGCACGATTTCTTCACTAGAACGAAAACACAGAGAGTATTTGCTGTGTAAGCCTTAGGAAATGACATTCCTTTTAGGAGGTGGTATTGTGCCACATTCATGGGGAATACCTCAACCATCAATCGACAGTTCATGGGGCGACCCAGAATGTGCCCTCAACCTCGACGATATCATCGTCGTTCAGTCTGTCCACCTCGACAATCGTCCGCGGCGGATACATATTGGTATCATTCCCCCATAGTTCCTGCTGCACCTGGTTGCAGAGCGGACGGAACCTGTACATGTCCGTCGTGTACACCACCAGACGGGCGCAGGAATAGCGATCTGTCCCCTCCATCTCCGCCAGCGCGATCATGTTCTCAAACGCCAGCTGAATGCGTGGGAGGCCCGTGGGGGCCAGGGTGCTGTTGGATCGATATATGCCGCGCATGCCTACATAGGGTCAAATGCTTTTCGTCAGTGCTGGTATCTAGGTTCCAGGACAAAGGGACGGACCGCTGACCGGCAATGTATAATACGTTACCGGCCTTGGACATCAAGCTCCACGGCCCGGTACTTGCAAAGAAAGTCGAGGGGTTGTAGATTTCCACACCGGCGGGTGACGTATAATTCGGCTGGAGCTTCGCCAATGCTGTTGTGCCCAACGCGGCTCTAAGTGCTATGATTGATTTCATTTTGCGCTACTCTGCCCCAGCAATAAATACTGAGATGTAAGATTCAATACTAAGTCAAAGTTTTGAATTTTGAATGAGGCTGCGTCGCTCTATCATTGTCCTCACCTACCTCCTACCTAGACAGTAAGCAAACCAACTACAGCGACAGTTATTCGACAGCTGACATATCACATCAATGTGCCTTTGTGGTAGCGGAACCAGAACAGAGATCTATCACAAGTCTTGGTTGGGATGATCTGTATTCTGGTTGGTGCTTGGTTCAGTTCGGACGGGAAGGGATCCCATCCGAGAAGTATATAAATACATAAATTACAGTGGGTTAGTACCTGTCACCTGGGGCAGCCATCCCAGGTAACCTTATCGTAGAACGCCCTGGATGACAGGAGATCCGATAAGGTACTGGTGGCTGGATCCAGTGGCTGGGATCCACATCAAGGTGCATCAAGATGGCTGAAGTGTTTAACGGGAGGGAAGCCTCAATCAGTTGCACATGCAAAGTCCATAGCGCATGGATTGTGGCTCATATTGTGGCTGGAGAGCTTACGTCATGCCCAATATTCTTGGCGAACTGCCGGAACAGAAATGGAATGCATTGACTCAGGGAGAAAAGGAAATTCTTAATGACACAATTTGGACTCGAATCACCTATATCACGGACAGCTCCTCGTAATACCTAATCAATCAAGAATGGCAGATTGGAAGGGCATCGTAAAGGGAGGTTGGCATCCAGGAAAGGAAGGGCATGGGCCTTCAGTGACGGGTAAAGTGGTAAGCACCCGACCATTCCGCCGTCCGCGCCGCCGTCAGCCGGCCGCGCTCAGCAAATATTGACCGTCGCGTACGTACAGAAAGGATTAGGAAAGGGACTCCTCGGTCGAGGTGACAACTCCTCGCCGGAAAGCCAGGAGCATGTAGCCGCGCCAATATCCTCGCTGCGCGACCCATCTTCGTTCGGACCTCCTCCGAAGCGTACCGGGTATGGCGGGAACGTGGCAGCGGCAGCGGCAGGGAGCCCTTCGCCGGCCGGCTCATATACACCCGCATCGCAGTATCAGACACAGTCGTATAGTGTCAGTAGCCTTGTTTCCCTTCCACGGCATTAGCAGTAGATCATGCTTTTGTGGTAGTCCTGCTTCATCAGTACCGAAAAGCAGTTCATGCATGTTTGTCCTGTTGCTGAAACTCGACGCTAATCGACAAATTCTACACAGACTGCAGCGCCAGCAACGTCACCAGTCGGGCAGGCCTACAACCCACAGCCTTCCCACGGAGCGCACGAGACAGAAGAGCCCGTAGCCGAGCCGAAACCATACCGCGTCGACACCACCGGCCTATCAATCTCGCACCTCCCACCACCGCCCGTCCGTCGCGACGGCGCAGACGGACGCAGTCCACCCCCACCAGCAGCACCACCATCACACTCAGCAGCCAAGACAAAGCCGCCGCCCTCGCTACCGCCTCGACTCCCTCCCCGCAGCGGTAACAGCTCTCCAGTCCACGCGCCGAGCCCGACTTCCACTGGTGGAAGTAGTCAGCCCGGTTACCTGAATCAAGGGGCCGTGAGTCGGCTGGGCGCAGCTGGGATATCCGTCCCCGGCCTGGGGATAGGCGGCGGCGGCGCAGCACCTCCTCTTCCACTGCCACCACCGGCGCGGAACTCTCCGACGTCGACCGGGTCGCCGAGCACGACATCGAGCAGCGGGCAGATCAACGAACTACAATCCCGGTTTTCTAGGCTGGGCAACTCTTACTCGTCGCACCCAGAGAGTACGTCGCCCGCAAACACAACCACGCAAGCAGCACAAGGCGCGACATGGGCGCAGAAGCAAGCCGCGCTGAGAACGGCGTCGAGTTTCCAGAAGGACCCGTCGTCCGTCTCGTTCGCCGACGCCAAGACGGCAGCCGGGACGGCGAATAAGTTCCGCCAGAGGCATGGGGACCAGGTCGCGTCTGGGATGCAGACGGCAAACAGACTGGGGCAGCGGTTTGGCACTGTTGCAGGTGCTGCAAGGCCTCCTCCACCAGGTAGTGACCGCGAGCAGAGTCCGCAGGCCCAGGTTTCGGGCTTGCTGGGGAAGAAGAAACCTGTCCCTCCGCCACCACCAAAGAAGAAGCCTGAGTTGTCGGTAGGCGGTGGTCCGGAGCCAGACCCTCCGCCTGTCCCGTTAGCTTCGAGACCGAGGTTTGACTGAGTAACGTAACGTAGTGAATGAAGAATGAACTGTCACGTTGTCCACCCCTTGCAGTATTGTCCGGTGAAGTTACCTGGTAGAGGGCGAGGTTAAAAGCAGTAGATACGGACCACGGTAAGGGTTCCTAGATGCGGTAAGGGTTCCTGGATGCGGTAAGGTTCCTCGATGCTATTAGGGTCCCAGGAGTCTTCACATTCGAATGTCAATGGGCAGTGTCGGATTGTCAGGCTTCAGCTGCGTACTGCATTGTTCGGCGCTTATAGAATTATCTATATGGTAAGCCTGATTTTGCGGAAGACAAAAACAGAAGTGGCATATATCATTTTCCCGTAGCCCATCAGCGTCACTTGATTCCTCGGCAAATAGCGGTCCATTTAGACCTTCATCTCCTCCAACCCGTGCTTCCAGACGGTGACATAGGGGGTGATACCATCCTCGCGGTAGTTTAGAAGGACAACCCTGGCAACAGGAGGTCAGTCAAACCTCACAATGAAAATTGGGTTCTTGAAGACTTACATTCCATCAACATCCATGTTCTCGCCAGTGTAGAATTCGTAGTCCTTGAAGTTGGCCACGATCTTCTTGGCGTATGCCTGGGCCTTGGTCTGGAAGTCTTTGACCTCCTCGGGCGAGCGGCCCGACTCCTGCAGGTACTTGGTGACCTTCTTCATGTACCCTGTTACGCCCCGGATGTTAGATAACAATGGCTACCCCCCGCCACCGGAATGGAGCCCTACCCTTGAGGTGAGAGAGATATGAAGCCTTGTCGAATTGGGTGGACTGCAGGCGGAAGGAGTGGACAATGTTGTTGACCTTCTGGGCAGCGTCCTCGTTGCCCTCGTCGGCCTCCTCGGCGGAAGCGTTGGCGCCGGTGTCTGCGCGTCGATAGTGTCAGCCGCGGGGGTCTGTGAAGGGCCTGCGATAGATGCCCCAGAGGAGGCGCATAGGTAAACGTACTAACTTCGACAGCGCCAATCTCGATCATGGCACAGTCGGCCTCGTAGACAACGCCATCGACTTCCTTCAGGTCGTAGGAGTCGGACAGGAGCTCGTCCTTGCTCTCAATGAGGGCGTCCTGCAGTGCGGGTTGGCGTTAGCGGGATGACTCTCGGCAGGGGGTTCCAGGGTGCCAGTGCCATGCTCTGCACGGGGTGACATGCCTTGAAAATCTTCATTTTGGCGGTGGTGAAGCGAGGGAGGACGGATTACTGGTAGAACGAGTCGGAAGATGTATGGGAACGGCGCAGACGAAGATACGCTGATGGAGAGAGGGCGGATTTTGCGAACTGGACAATGCTAAGAAATAATGAGGGGCAGCAGGCCAATTCAATCTAAAGACCCTCAAAATTTTGGCAGCGGAAAAGTGGACCATGGAGAGATGGAGCGGCCAGGCCATACCCGGCTTAGTGCACGAGCCACCTGCAGTGTTTAGATCCAGACTCCAGAGTTTATTGTCCACCAGCACTCGTCGACTGCCAGCTGTCAGCTGGCTTTATTAGAGTTCAATACACCTGCCACCACCGCCCACTGTAATTCTTCGAGCTTTGGGCGCTAACGAAGCCATCTGCATTGTCGAATTTCCGATGCAAATTCCCATCCAGCCGGCCAGGCAGCATTGTGTATATCGCAACTCCCAGATCGCATACAATACCTACACGACATGAAACCTCACAGGAGGATACTTATTTTAATCAATGAACAGAAATAGTGAGAATGATGCGACTTGGCTCATTGTTCGAAATCCAGTCTGGAATTATATTTGTATATATATATAGCCGTCTCCTGGCATGGCAGCGTGGTTGACCAGAGACATGCTCGCCGCGCGATTGGTGGCCCCCTCGGTACAGAAGTTGTGGCGATGAACATGTGCGATAATAGCTTTGGAAGGCTGTAGTCGAGGACTCAAGGATGCGGGTAGTCTGTCTCAACCCGGTTGTTTACCATGCTGCACTGCAAATTACATTAAATAAAATCGCCTGTTCTTCAGTGCCGTCAAAACGAACGACATCGGACTGTTGATGGACGTGGTGGGCTGATCTGCATATAATGGAGGGATCGAGGGACCGACCCGCGGAAATTGGGTGGAAAGGAGACGGCAAAATTGAAAAGCTTGTGATGACTGATAATTGATGACGGTGATGGATGTGCATTGCGTTCAAACCTTCGCCCGCGCTATTTCGCCCCCCCTACGGCTCCCTCCCGCCCAGTGCCCAATGCCCATCCGCCGTGTCCGAATCCCACCCCATCTCGACCAATTCTAGGTGGGCTTTAATTGATACTACTCTCCAGCGCCGCAGTTCCATCTCAAGTCTTTCCCATCAACATTGAACTTTCTCGAGGCAGTCAGCAGTCAGCAGTCTGCCCATAATCCTAATAATCACTCTCTTCCTTCCTTACAACCAACCGCCTTACCTACCACAGTACGTGCGTCAACCAACCGGAACCACCCTCTTTCGAGTCTACCACCATTCACCATTCAGCATTACTTGTCTCTTTCGCGTCAATCCTTTCTTCTGTCCGCTCTGCGACTACCTCATCAATTGTACTGTCCCTCCTCGCAGCCTGAATCAGATTATCAGCTGCCTTCCGCTTGATCCCGACCCCGACCCCGAGCCCCGTGCCTCAAGCAGGCCATGGTCACGGTCATGGCTACCAATCTGACTTCCGTCACCGACCTCCCTCCGCTGCCCTCCTACACCCTCGTTGAGAGGCCTGACCTGCTATCGTGGCTTCCCGACTTCTACCTGTCCGTCATCGCGCCCATCGCCGCCTACTGGGTCGTATCCGCCATCTTCCACATCATCGATGAGTACGATCTCTTCCCGCAGTACCGTCTGCACACGCCTGCCGAGATCGCTCAGCGCAACCGCGCCACGAGATATGAGGTCTTCCGCGATGTTGCCATCCAACAGGTTATCCAAGCCGGCATGGGCATCGTCCTCGACTTTACCGACCCGCCGCAAATGACCGGATCCGAGCAATACGATGTCGCCGTATGGGCCAGCAGAGTCCGTGTCGCACAAAGAGCTCTGCCGGCCGTTCTCGGCCTACTCGGGATCAATGCTGCGACCGTGTCCAAGAACATGGCTGTGTCGCATCCGTTCCTAGCTGGTGCGCTCGCTGGTGGGCATTATCCATTCCTCGCCTCGGGACTCGACGCAGCAGACGGATCCTCAATACCAGCATTCGCTACGTGGGAGGTTGTTGTTGCAAAGGCCATCTATCACTTCGCCATCCCAGCAGTTCAGTTCGCTCTGGCCATAGGCATCCTGGACACATGGCAGTACTTCCTCCACCGCGCAATGCACTCGAACAAGTGGCTCTATAGTAGGTTGCTTCTCCCCCTGGGATAGGCCTTGGCCAACTGACAAATCAATAGCCAAGTTCCACTCGAGGCACCACCGTCTCTACGTTCCTTACGCTTACGGTGCGCTGTACAACCACCCAGTCGAGGGGTTCCTTCTCGACACGGCCGGCGCGGGTCTTGCATACAAGTTGGCGGGGATGACTGCGCGACAAGGCATACTGTTCTTCGTCTGCTCAACAATCAAGACCGTTGACGATCACTGCGGATATGCGCTTCCCTGGGATCCCCTCCAACACATTACCGGCAACAATGCCACATACCACGACATCCACCACCAGAGCTGGGGAATCAAGACCAACTTCTCCCAACCCTTCTTTACTTTCTGGGACAGGGTTCTGGGCACCATCTGGAAGGGTGACACGACCCTGAGGTACGAACGGTCGAGGATCAATGCCGCCAACATTATGCAGGCAGAAGCCAAAAAGACATCTGCCAAGGCTCAGTGAAAAGAGTCCAATTCTGCACTGCTTGGTGCCCACATTCGCTGTATCATCCTAGGGCTTTTCCTTGATTTTCTGGAGTGGGGGGGGGGGGGATATTCTGGATCGAGACAAGCTTGGGCAAAGGCTGCATCACAGAATGGTGAAGAGACATTGGGACGGGCGTTGCTCCATGGATCAGTGCTCACTGTTCACTAGGGATTGTTTGGGAAGTGTCGTGCTGCGTCGATACGCGCTGTGTAGGATTGTTGGCTGGTGTACACTTTCCCGAAATTGCAACGACTACCACCGAAGAAGGGTTCAATGAACCACTGGACGTGGAAACGAAACGGCATTGGATGTCGAAAGTTCTGTTCTGGCGCGGTGCTCTGACTGGGAGCATCCGCTGTTGCTGCTCATAGCTAATGATAATATCCCTTATTTGACCTCATGAATTCACCATGGGACATTGTGCTTATAACGATACTTGGTCGTGACGTTCCTGGAGCTGGGGTACATACAGTCAACAGGATTGTTCACGGACGGGGTAGCTGGGCTGGAGACAGCTATCATAGCTCACCCAAACATGACCGAGTCATGGAAGCCCCCAACAGCGCGTCAACACCTTCATCGAGTTAAGAGACAGCTTAGTTCCTACACCCAGGGCGTATCCTGAGTCCTCCCGCGCCCACCCAATCCCAAGGCCTCGTGAATACATGTTAATTAATATATATATATATATATATATATATATATGTGCAGGCTTGATGTCCCGAAAGTGGCAGAACAAGAACTTCATTTAGTCCGAGGTTCGCCGGACTTGGTCGTCGAGAAAAGGGACTGGGGAACCGCTGCGGTTTCTTCGCACTGGGGATTGGAGTCTTTTTACCACTCAGGTGGCACAGAGTCAATGGCAGCTGGCAGACTGAACAGCGATAAAATAACAAAATAATTGGGATGCCCTGGGTTTGAAGCTTTCCTCTCCCAACTTGTAACTTGTACACGGCAACAGGAGAGTCATACGGCAAGGCGGCAATTCCTCCTAGTGCTCGGCGAACCTCGATGCAGAGCAAGCATGCGGCTGCTCACGCTGCGAGAAGGCTTTCCCATCTACTGAAACTAAGTCCCTACACGGGTCCGAGGCGTCTCTTCCCACCTTTTGTCAAGTCGCGATTTGCGAACACACGGCTTCCAACAGCCCTCTTCAACGGGCCCAACCTTTCTGTGCTGCCAGCAACTTCGGCCGACCGAAAATTGCGCGCTCGATTTCTCCTCCTCCAGACTTCGCAACCCACGACCTTCTCACAACCCACGGCTTCCTCGCAGTCCACCGCGGCACCTACGAAACCGGCAGCTCGAGCTCTAGGTCGAAGGATGTTGAACTATCTGCAGGTCGTCACCACGCCTACGGCCGATACCTCTGGCACCGCTCTTCTCCTCCACTTTGACAACCAGCGATACATATTTGGTCAGGTTGCGGAAGGGACACAGCGTGCGCTGGTACAGCGCAAGGTGGCACTGAACAAGGTCGAGGATGTCTTCCTGACTGGCCTCGTCAACTGGCAAAACGCCGGTGGTCTCTTGGGCCTGATTCTCACTCTTGCCGACATGCTTGCATCTTCGAAACAGAGCGCTCTGGATGGCAATTCGGAACGAAAGAAGAAAGGGAAGGCCGGGTTGCGCGATGGCCCGTCGGCGAAGCTTAATATCCATGGCAGCAAGAACCTCTCACATCTCCTTGCTACCGCGCGGCGCTTCATATTCCGGAAGGGCCTCCCCCTGACACCCCACGAGATCCGCCAAGACCCTCGTATTGCCAACAACTTGACGGCAGAGCCCGACTGGAAAGATGACAACATCAACGTCTGGTATATGCCGGTCGAGTCCTCCCAGAGCCGCGCCGCTAGCCCTCGGAAGCGAAGTCACGAAGAGTTTACAGAGTCAGCCGGCGCAACCAATTCGAGCACCTCTACAGAAGAAGAAGATCAGAAGCTTGTCAAGACAGTAGTCACGCAGATGTTTGACTCGGACTGGACTATGGATGCACTGGTGGAGACGACCTTGCAGCAGGCAAAACTACCCGCGAAGATATTTGTAAGAGATGACCATGGGCATATACAAGTCTACACAGGGCCGATGCCAGGAGGCAACAAGAATGTGCCTGACATCCCCGTCCTGGTGCGCCAACCATGGCCCGGCGCCATGGTCACGTCGTTGCCACGGACCGCCCCCTCGCAGCAATCGATGTGCTATATAGTCAAAGGCCACGAGAGACGAGGGAAGTTCAATGTCCAACAAGCGGAGAAGCTGGGCGTCGCCAAGCGTGATTACAAGGTTCTTGCTGGAGGAAGCAATGCCGTTGGTAAAGACGGCGCCGTTGTGACTCCCGAAATGGTCTTGGGTGAGACTGTCGCCGGCAGTGGCTTCGCTGTTGTTGATCTGCCGGACTGTTCATATGTCGATCCACTTATCAGTCGCACAGAATGGTCGAATAGCCAGATAATGAAAGGCATCCACGTCATCGTCTGGGTCTTAGGCCGCGATGTTGCCAACGACAACCGCCTTCAAGACTTCATGCAGAAAATGCCCTCAGTACGACACATTGTGTCATCTGGGGACAGCTGTCCGAACATGATTGCGCTAGAATCTGTCGCAGCCCAGGCTTACAAGCTGCGGTGCATAGACCCTGAGCGGTTCCCCTTGCCTGTTCACAGCAATGAGCTATCGCTCTCGAATGCTCCGTGCACTACTTCGTCGACATACGAGACCAACCGGTCGGGCAAGACCGTCCAGTTCGCTCCGCAGTTCCTATGTCAGGACGACAAGATTGTGCCGTTTCCGGACATCCCAAAGATGGCGCGGAGCGATCTGAGCAGGGAAGTGCTGCGGATGGCCGAGGAAACTAGAACCAAAGTTTCGGACCCAGAGTTTCTTGCCAAGGTTGAGAAGGCAGAATCGGATATCCCAAATCGCGATGCAGAGATCATCACCCTCGGCACTGGCTCTGCCCTTCCCTCAAAGTACCGCAACGTCTCCGCCACACTTGTTCGTGTCCCGGGATACGGCAACTACCTTTTCGATGCGGGTGAAAACACTTTGGGGCAGATGCGTCGGGTCTTTGGCGACGAGCTACCTAAAGTTCTACAAGATTTGAAAGCGATCTGGATCAGTCATTTGCATGCCGACCACCATTTAGGCACTGCCTCGGTTATCAAAGCATGGCACGCAGAAACAAGAAACTCCTTGCCCTCTGCCAAATTACACGTCGCCTCTCATACTCACATGATAGATTGGCTCGAGGAATACTCCAGTGTTGAGGATTATGGCTACGACCGACTGGTCGCCACCAAGTTCAGCCACTACGATGCCAGCACGCGCATCAGCGAACCCCGAGTATTCACGAGCAAGGAGACCGAGGCCTGGGGTTTAGCGAAGATTGAGGTCTGCTGGGTAAACCACTGTTTCGGGGCGCTTGCGACGGCCTTTACGTTCCCATCTGGGCTTAAGATCGCGTACTCGGGAGATTGCCGGCCGAGCGACGCTTTTGTTCAGATTGGCCAGGGCTCTACAATACTCATCCACGAGAGCACCTTTGATGACGAGTTGCAAGGCGATGCGGTTGCAAAGAAGCACTCCACAATGTCGGAAGCGATCGACGTCGGAAGACGCATGGGGGCAAGGAGAATTCTGCTCACACACTTCTCCCAAAGGTACCAGAAGGTGCCGGTCATAGAAGAGAACTTTGAGGTACGGGCCGACGCGGATACCAAAGACAAGGCCAGGACGGATGAGGTGATATTGGTCGCGTTTGATTACATGCGTCTCAAGCTCGGGGAGTTCAGGAAGGCCCAGGCTTTCTTGCCTGCGATCCAGAAGCTGTTTGAGGATGTGGAACAATGAGGGTAGATTTGTGTAAAGAAGACGGGCATAGAGGGCGCTAGGAGTGGGCATGCTCGCTGTCGGATGGAAAGGGGATCAACCAGCTAAGTTACTGACTAGATAGACTCCCACTGCCACTGCATGTCGCTATAAGTCTACTGCAATCACTTGCATAGACGGGTTGTACACTATATTCCACAATAAGTATAGATACCTTGGGATTGGATGCAACTGGCAGTTCTACGATGTGTCTCGGAGCGTACCTACGTTGTGACGCCAGAGTCCATCTGATTCGATCAGGCTAGGTATGTTGAGTTCAGCGGACTCGATCCTCAACCGATCCTTGACGTCTTTCGCATGGGAGTTTTGGCCGTGCACGATCTTGATCTGGCCGGCAGGAACTCTGGTTCTGTTCTGGAACTTGCCATACCATCCCATGTTAGCTGGTAGTCGACGGCGCGTGGCTCGCTCTGCCTCCTAGAGATCCGTTGGACCCAGCACTTCTCCGGAGCCGGTACTGGTCACGTCCCACTCTCGCTTTCCTGATGTCCATGCATGCCGGTTCCGACCTGCGGGATTGATTACTCGGCCGGCAGGCAGGGTGACGACCCTGCCGGTCCCGATGACATAATGGGGCGCGGCTCCTGCCTGGCACCGGCCCTGGCACCGACACCGGCACCGGCGCTCGGGTTGGTCGAACGCAATGTCTGTGTGTATGTTAGTGTCTCGTCTTGAAACCCAGTGGCCAATAGTCCTGCTCGAAAGAAACCATGGTTTACATGCGAGATGAAGGTAATGAATGCATGGGGTGAGATGAAAGTTCTTGATGCCAGCAGCCTGGATCATTGTACGTTATAGGAATCGCTTGTTGCCCTTATTTGGCACTACATGTAATTACCTAAGTTAACCTGCTAACTTAGAGGGCAAGATCATGCTTGATTAATATCGTATTATAGCTACGATGATATTTGGAGACATCTTCGTGTACGAAGGCATTGGTGACTTGACACAACAGAAGGTCTGGAAGTCTTGTAGTCGACGAGCTCGGTCAGTTTGTTTTCAATGGACATAACGGACTCCCTGACTTTAGGCGGCTTGACGGCCGTGCTGTCGGCTTCCGCCAGGCCTGAAAGCGTCCATTCCCACACACCATCTGGCGCGTCCACAGAGCTCGTGTTTAAAGCCTCAATCATGTCTTCAGAGACCATGTTGAAAACACACTCGCCGGTTTCCCCAAGATTGCGCAATATATCTTTTGGCCGGCAGGCGCGTCCGCAGAACCCGATCACAAAGACCGGAGGGTCTTGGTCGACGACTTGGAAATAGCTGGAGGGTGCGACATTTAGGTTTCCTTCTTTTGATATGGTGCTGACGAGACCGATGGGCCTCCCCCGAACGGATTCATCTCGATATGCGCCTGGTCTTGTTTGCGCTTCATCCTCGTTTTATGACGCTGATCCCGGACATGGACTTCCAGCCTGGCAGTTCCTTCTTCGATCCTCCCAGCGATGCATAGTCTAGCTGGCTGCGCGTCGGCACAAAAGCTGTGTTGACCGACTCAATGACATCGAATCTGCTTTGGATCTTCAGGCCGAAGAGATGCGAGGAGAGAGTGTGATATCATTTGCACAAATTGATGTTTCGAACAAAAAAGATGAGAATGATGAATGACCAAGCCGATAACGCGCCCGCCGATCGACCGTCACTTCAGTGGTCCATCCCCATCTCCGCCAGCGGAGCAGGCTCGATCCCTTCAGCTAAGGTATACCGATGATCTCGGCAAAGAGCCACGGCACGGAACCACGGGTACGGAAGCCCGCCAGCCCGCCAGCCCGCCAGCCCGCCTAATCGACGGCGGCACGACGAAACAGCAGACGCCTGGAAACAGGAAGACTACCACACGTGGTAAAACCACGCCGGCGGCAGTCTATCTATGTTTGGGCACTACTGACGCCATCCCGTTAGTAAGACCACCAAGTCAGCGTGGGGGCGGGCATAGGCGAGCTCACTTCACCAGCAGGCGAATTGGCGTAATGAACCATAAGCTGCCATGCAATGATGAGTCCGTCAGCAGATGATTATTGGCCACTCCGTGGCAGGGCTGGCTGTCAAGACTATAGGTGCCTTATAATTTATTATAGACCGCCAACTGCATCTACACTTGACATCAGCCGCAGCGATCGTTGTGGGTCGAGGAATTGTCCAGGGGTAAAAGGGGGGCGTTGGGACCGCGAAGCAATCACTCGAAGAGAGCGCATGATGGATCATGGAGGAGGAGGAGGATGATGATGATGATGATGATGATGATGATGGCGGCACACGGATAAGATGGGCAGCTTGGATGATTTCGCATATGAAGAAGTAGCAAGCACAGTCATCAAACACGCCCGTCACACCAGATGACCAGCAAGCTGCAGGACTCAAAGCTGTATACCTACCTATAAGTGGACCTAGGTTTGATTCCTATCAGCGATCGGGTCATGACCGGGAATGATTTGTTATTTTGTCCCATTGCAGGTGGTTCCATAATCCCTGAACAGTGAATATCTATGTAAGCCCTGTCATCGGTCATCCTTGATAGCTCTGCTCTCACCCAATCAACCGACAAATTGTAACCTGCCATGTGGGCATGAGGTGGTCCATCGCAGCGTGAGATTAGACCGTAGACGTAATAAGGAGCTAGACACCCTTCAGACAGCTTTGCATCCGTTTTGTCGGATCTGTTTCTCTTTATGTTTCTTGTTTCTTGTCAGTTGAGATACCCAAGGACCATGTGTGCCGCGTCAGGAGTCAGGAGTCAGGAGTGCTTTTTCTTCACTCGGCTAATTACCTAGGCTTTCTCCGCGCAAACAGGGGTAGCTACCTCAGAACGCCATCATTTAATATCCCCCGCCGAGGTGAATATTTGGCCAACTCACCAAGGATTAATACAGAGTGCAAACACCAACACAACAGATGGGTTCCGACTCGAGACCGAGGGCCGAGGAGGAGGCTGTAGAACGTATGCTCAACAACGAGTACTCATCCAGCGACGATAGCGGGTACCGGGACGAATACTGGTCATCACCCTTCGAAAAGATGCCGAGCACGCCCATATCAGCGTTCAGTCGGAGACTGAACAGAAGGCACTACACCGTCATCTTGATCCTTATAATAATGGGCACGCTCCTATGGGTGAGCCCAAACTACCCGATGGGACGGGGCTACCTGAACAGCCAGACGACTGGATCCAAACAGTCGGTGGTATTGGTGTCGCTGCCTCAGGCGACATCTGCACCATTCAAGCAGGCGCTGCCGTACCCAACCACGGGACCAGAGGACGAAGCAAAGAAGACCTCAGGCGACAAGATACATGTCAAACCTCAGGATGAGAAGGTGCACTCTTCATCAAAGGACAATCCAGGCGACCAGACCGACAGCAAGCCCAAGGAGTCGCCGAAAGAGAAGCCCGCTGAGGAGAAGCTCGCCGAGGAGAAGCCCCCGAAGGTGAAGCCCGTCGAGGAAGTGCCTGCGAAAGAGGAGCCCGTCGAGGAGGTGCCCGTAAAGGAGAAACCCGTCGAAGAGGTGCCCGCGAAGGATAAGCCCGTCGAGAAGGTGCCCGCGAAGGATGAGCCGGCCAATACCCCAGTGAAAGGCTCCAAAGGGGTTCCTGAAGAGTGGTGCACGACGTGGCCGGTCGACGAGAAAGGCAACTACGACGCGAAGCACAAGTCGACCGGGAGCAAAAAGCTGCAGCTGGACAGCTACGCGCCCGCAGGCGGATGGCAAAAACCGGCGGGAGTCAAAATCGTGGCGATGGTGTTTTATGGGCGCAAGCGCAATGTCGACATCCTGGACTGCTACCTGCGGCAGAACCTGGTGTCCAACGGAGGATATTTCGACGAGGTGTGGTTCATGGTGCACACGCAGATTGAGGACGACGTCTCGTGGATGCGCGAGCTTGTGAAGCAGGAGGACGAGTACGTCTTCATGGACCTCGGCGCCTGCACCACCAAGCCGTACGGCTGTATCTGGGAGTACGCGGTGGAGGACGACACCATGTACTTCAAGATCGACGATGATATTGTGAGCGACTGCCCATCCAACCAACCACCCCCCTTCCTGTCCCGGGCTGAAACTGACCCAAAACCCAGATGTACATCCACCACGACACGATCCCGCAAATGGTGCACACGCGCATCGCGCAGCCGCACCCCTACGCCATCTCGGCCCAGCTCGTCAACAGCCCCGTCACGGGCCTGGAGTCGTACCACTACGGCGCCATCCACCCCTTCCTACCTGACCCGCGCCCCCACAACTGGCGGAAGGCCGCCGAGAGCTGGCGCGTCTCCGAGCTGCCGCTGTACCCACGGGCCCTCAACCCGATCGAAGGAAACCCGCTGGAACTGAACGCGCCCTACAAGGGCCACCCGTGGCTGCTCCTGAGCGACAAGCCAGACGCGACGGCCGGGCTGGTGCACACGCCGATGGGCGAGTGGTACGCGCACCAGGGCCCCGAGGACATCGCATGGGGCCCCGGCTGGAAGTCGTGGGGCGTGGCGGCGCAGCAGCTGTACAGCTTGCTGTTCAACCTGGAGAAGAACCAGCTGGACCGGTACCACTTCGGGCGAGCGATCGACTACCGCGATCGCCACGAGGACGAATCATCCCGGGAGGGGGAGCAGCCCGAAGCAGAAGAAAAGTACGACGGCCCCGGCGGCGAGCAGCTCTACGACATGCAGTACCAGCGGTACAACCTCAACTTCATTGCTATCTGGGGCCGCGACGTGGCGGCGGGCCTGCCGATTGGCGACGACGAGCTCGAGGTCACGCAGACGATCCCCGCGCGCCTGGGCCGGCCTTTTGTGATTGACACGCGCGCCCTCGTCGCCCACCACTCGTTCTTCGTCCAGAAGGAGGGCGTCGGCGCCACCGACCTGATGGACCGCTGGCGCGCCTTCGCCAACGAGAACGTCTGCGCCGCCGACAACATGAAGAAGCCGTGGGATCTGCGGTGTCCGGGTTTCTAGGGTTAGGCGCTGTGGTGCTGTGCTTTGGTGGACTGAGGCGCGGTTTTTGGTTTTCTTTTCTTGTTACTTTTTGCCAATGCATTGGGGGCGGGAGTAGGAAGGAAGGGGCCGGAAGGGCTGGCGTTTCTGGTGTGTATTCTATAGCGACGCGCGGTCAGTCAGCGAATGGCAGGGCTTGCGATGTCTTTGTGGGATTATATGGCGCCTAAAGGGGCGTTCATTAGATTTTACGAACCATGTGAGTCGTAAATATTAAACTACATTCCACTGCAATGTACTTTCAATTGGCTTCGTGATTAAACCAAAGTATGAAGGCTAAAGTTTGATCAAGGCCTTGTGAATACTTCTGTTCTCGTACGCAACCCAGACCCTTCTGAGCCGGAGAATATCGCTAGATCCAGAGGGGGCGAGGAGACTGTCAATCTCGACTCCTTCCACGTCACCATTTTCTCGCGGTCAGTCACTTGGACCAAGTCAGCGTCCATCGCTCAAGGCGGTAATGATGTTGAGTCTTTGAGTGCCCACGGCTGCTACTACACAGGGAAAGATGAAACTAGGGATTCGCCCTGGCAATTATACACGACTTCAAATAGCAATGGAAAGCAAAGACCCAGCCAAGCTCATGTCAACGCCTACAGTGTAAGAATGGAATAGGGGAAGCCAAAGCCCTAGAACACATGGTGTAGAAGAATGTGAGCAACCGCGTGATACATACACCAATTCGAGCTGGTTTGGCGCCATACCTCGGTCATTGGATGCTGCAACATGAAGGGTTTTGTTCGTCGAGTTCTCACTTTATCCACGCGTTCCACCTACGTGATACCTGCTCCGGGTCGAACGGAGCTACTAGGGGCGTATGGTCTTTGGCATTGTGGCACTTGAGAGGCAGATCGGTTGCATTTGCAGAAGGAAACTGGCAGACATACGTGGTACGTGTTTTAAATCGGCGATGCTCAACCCAAGCTACCAAAGGCCCGTGCTACTGCGAGACTGACGACCGGATAAGACATGATCCTGTCATGAACACCGAACTCCATAATCTCCTCGCGAAGGACGCCCTTCCGAGTCCGCCGCTCCACGACCCAACCCCCAGCACCGCGATCGATCCTCGACAGCCCCTTCTCCTCTTCAAGCTCGGCATAGCCGATCCCGGCCGGCAGCGACGCGTTGACGGCATGCCAGAAGAGATGCTCGCTGTGCGACCACGGGATCGTGGTGTCGTCCTTGGCGTGGATGATGCTGATGTGGTACCGCGCCTCCTCCCCCTTCATGCTCTCGCACAGCCGTACGAACGCCTCTATCTTGGAGTTGCTGGTCCACTTGCTTAGGATGAACGTATTGAGCCACGCCAACACCCGCGGGAATCGAGCGACGGGGTCCAAGATCGGGATAGTACCAGCAATCCGGTACGTAGCCGTCAGGCTCTCGACGTCGGCGAACGGCGCGACCATGATCAACCCAGAGAAGAACGTCGGTTCCGGGCGTGTCGCCATGTGGTGTACGAGCGACAAGGCGACAGCGGTCCCCAGCGATTGCGCGAATATCACGATGCGTGAAGCCGGGATGCCAGCGTCTTCCATGGCCCACCCGGCCAGCGTCGTTGCATCGGTCAGGAGGCCCTGCTCGGATGGGAAGCCGCTGCTGGAGCCGAAGCCGCGGTAGTCTATGGCCACAGTATGTATGCGCCCCGGCGCGCCCACGGACATTGCTCGATAACTGGGCGGTCGCCAACCCGACCCGAGTGTGCCAGCGGCACCATGGAAGTATAGCACAAGTAGGGAAGACGGGTCGTCGCGCAGAAGCTTGAAGCTTAGTCTCTCCCGAACATCTCGAACGAGTCCGGGCGGCTCCTGCAGCAGTTCCTCTTCGTGATGCGCGTAGAGGCCAGGTGGCAGTAAGTGCCAGGCGTATAGGCATTCCCCATCTGGAGTAGGCAGTATAAATGGTGTTACTTGATTGCGCAAGAAGCCCCATTGCTCGGGCGTGTTGAGGTCCTGGAACCAGGTCTGCGTGACATGGTTGAGGTATATGACTTGGTTCTGGACGGAGGGGATGGTGAGTAGGCTGATGAAGATGGCGTAGAGGCCGACCAGAGCGGCGAGGCCGTACCCTGTAGATTTCAAGAGGGCCATGACGCTGATGCTGGAGGTTCGGGATTTGAGGTCGGGAGGAATGTGGTTGTGGTTGTGGTTGTGGTGGGCGAGCGAACAAAGAAACGAGTCACAGAGATGTTGGTCCGATAACACGCGGGCTCTTATCGGCGTCGTAAGCGAGTCTAGCGAATTGACTCATGATCAATTCGGTTTACCTGCCTTCGTCGTGATGGTATACTTACCTCGTGTACGCAATGCGCACTTCCTCAATCCTTTCGCCGGCTGCGATTATTGAAAGTTTGACATGTAACCGGTAGTCGTGGCTGCTCCAAAAACCCCGCCACCACCCCTTTCCCCTTTTTACCTCCCGCACCCCTCATTGGCGTCTTTATACACAAATGTGAATACTTGAAAGCCCTCTTCTACTGGCAACACACCTTGCATCTGCCAATGAAGATGAGAGGCTTGCTTGATTTGCTCCTTTGCTAGTGAATCGGTGGTCTCTACCAGTGTTACATGAGAAGCTCCCCTCGGGCAGAGCCTTACAATACCCCGACCGTTGTTGAGACGTCGGACCGTGATATTGAAATTAACCGCAGCCGACGATATTTGAGAGGGACATGATATTATGAGGATATTACCTTTTCAGCTCGAACAACAAGTGCTTGCGTCATGTGCTACTATGCGCAGGATGGCGAAGAGATAACGGCGCCTTGACGACACCGGAATAGTAGCAAACCATCGGCAAACACCACGCTGTACTGTACTGACTATTAAAGCAACCAAATAGCTTTCATTATTGGTCAAGTCTTCCTCTAAATCAGTGCTCCTTGTTCTGGTTTGTAGTGCCCGCGGGCAATATGATGTCCCACATCCCCACGAGGTATACGGAAGGAGGTGTATAGATAACTTGACATGAAGATAGGTGAAGAGTTTAAACCCTTTGCCATATGACCTGTAGCAAGTTTATGGTACCATTGTACGGCCGAGACAGAGCTTTGATGGTTTCCAGGTTACTGTTTTGAATTAGGGGTAAATCTCCTAGGAGACCCTGCTGCGGAAAATCATCGTTCATCCACCCTTCCCCCACCGGCCACTGTATTTTGTGTCCCTTACTCAAATTCTGGCCCGTGTCTTGTTGCCCGGCAGATTGCCTCTTCTGACATGATTTTTCCGTCAAACCATTCATTCTTCGCAACCACTTTCACGCTGATGTCCGCAAAGCTCACGAACCAACCGACACTACTCCCCTGCCGCAGAAGCACACTTTACAGACCCTGAAGCTGTTGTCCTTCCTTACGTTCCGATTTCGAATACAATGTCGAAGAAGGAACTGGCTTCTGGCGTGCCGGGTTGTTACCCTTACCGCACGCAATCAAGGTTCTTCCCACGGGATCGATGCCGCAATGTTGCAGACGCAGCAGCTTCTCGCAATGGAGAAAATGGTACGGACCAGAACCCCCGGATCGTTTTCTGAAGGGTAAACTAATTCTCGAAGGTCGCTCTCATATAGCTAGCTCTGAAGTCGAGCCAGTTCTTGACGTTCTCATTGACCCTGGCATCTGGGGTCCCATCGACTGGGAAGCACGTCTGGCGAGATTCCACCACGCGTTTCTGTCTCGCAATCTCGAGTCTCAGCATGCCGTTCCTGGCAAATGTAACGTCGAAGCGACACCTTATGTACTTCCGGGTCATAAGAGCACCCAGGCGAAGCACACGCCAGTACACGAAGAGACCCAGCCAATCGATCGCATATGTCATCTACAGTCTCGGACTGTCGACCCAGCATCACTCCTGGACACAAGCCCCAATGGGGATATGAGAACGCATCAACGCGTTCAGCCGATCGATGCAGACGCAGGTATGCATATACGGGGATCCGGCCCCCAATCTGATCTTGTGGGACCAGAGGACATGCAGAGCTCATCAAGAGACAACGCCGAGGCCATGGACATAGCCTCAACCCGACCCCCTAATTCACACGATCAGCCACTTGACCACAACCTCAACTATAAGGGCAATGCCAATCTGAGCCGCAACACGAGCGCAGACATACCCCAATACCAAAACTGTCGACTGTGGATTACACGCCTGCCACCACACTGCGGCCACCATCTGCTGCTCTCCTCAGTCGACTCTACCGGTCCTATTCACGCCTTGCACATCAACCCTCCTATACCGAACAACGACACCAGTGCCGGATACCGTAATCTCTATACATCAGCAGCCTCCTTGACATTCTTCCGTGAAGAAGACGCGAACAAGTTCCTCGCCCGCCACGCCGTGGACCCCTTTTCCGTCAATGGATATGCCACCACCATAAGCCGCCATCGCATCCGGACGAGAGCGGTGCCAGTCAATGGACAGTCGCGTGTGCTCGACGTCAGCGGCCCGGTGGGCCTTGTCGAGCCTGAGCGGCTGGCGAGTCTGTTCCGAGAGAAATGGGGCATACGTTTCGACACCGATTATGTCACCCACGAGGTCACAGGTGATGAGGCGCGGGTGGAATGGGCATTCGGAAGCTTTCGCGCCCAGGCCCAGGCGGTCTATGCGAGGATTACCCAGGAGTACTCTGGCGTGGTCTCTGTGCGGTATCAACCGGACCCGTGTGTGCGAGCTGGTGAGCCCATCCGATAAGCACTGCTGCAATGTCTTGTCCTCTGCCTCTGTTCGCATGTCATTGCGCATCCCAAAGGCTGCGCCATGTTCCTTACTAATTTATCTCTTTTAGGTAGATAACGACGTCACACCTGATAGGCAGTCTGAAAACATCGACGAGGTATATGAGCCGGTCGTCGCACTTCCGCGTAGCCAGCCGCTGCGACTCTTTTTCGACCGGGTGGCAATCGACAGACAGTTCCCCCAAATCCGGACAACACATTCTAACAGTGCATGTGTGGTATCAAGCCAGTAAGGGGGTGTACCTGGTACTGTAGAGGAGTCATCAACGAGAGGTGAATCTACGCGGCCGGGCTACGTCAGCATATGCACTTCAAAACGGCTTTATGGGGGAAAACGTACTTCACATGATGCATCTCGATCCTCTTCGCACTGCCCCGCAGCAAATGGATATTATCCCTGAACACCTGCGTGTTCCGGAACGCCATGTGCTGATCTACAGACTGCCACCCGATCAACAAGACAGCTGCCTTGCCCTTGACACCCTCTCTCGCGACCTCCTCGTGCGTCGTCCCGACCGCCCAGCCGAGGATACCGTCGGCGTCCTTGAACGCGCCCTCGGTGGCTTTCTTGACGTTCTCGAAGTAATCGGAGGGCGGCTCGCCGTCGAAGTAGAAGGTTGCGATTTCGGTCGCTGGGGCGGAGAGGCATTTCGTGGCGTTGCCTTCGGGCTTGAAGTCCTAACATGGGACAACGGGTGCGATTGTTAGCGCACGCTTCGAAGCTGAGAACAAAGCCGAGTTCATTCAAAGGGCGAGCGAATGGTAGGCCGAGCTGGGAGGGACGGGTGTAGAAGCTTACGGCGTGCATCATCTTCGGCTCGCCATCCACCAAGCTCATGAATCGATCCAGGAAGGGCCCATATGTGCTCGAGGCCATGAAATCCTTGTGGCTCTGCAGGCTGTCCCATTCTACCAAGGTGTGTCAGAGTATCGTTCGACCAGCTAAGTCACGGTACTACTCACCAACCATGAGCTGAAAATCGGTAGGGTTCTCGACTGACGACCCAAAGTTGATCTGCCTCATGCCGTCGACTGTCCTCAGCGTAGCGAACGTGCTCTCAACGACCTTTGCTGCATCGGTTTCAGGGTCGCTGACATTCATGCCGGCTTTGAAGGGGAAGATTGCGTTCTCTGTGGTAGGCATAGTGGTTGATGTTCGGGTGTTGTGTGTGGGATATTGATGCGATTCGTCTACTCTAAGAACGGGGACGTCAAAGTCTAGTCAGGCAATCTCTATTGTTCACGAATGGTCGATATTACAGTCAGATTCGAAGGTATATAAACCTGCAATTCACTACTTATACAAAGCGACCGTTCCGAACGATGATGCACCTCGGCAGCTCGAGACCCCTCCATGCATCACGTCGGGTGCGTCATGATTCAAGGACCACCCCACCAAACATTGCAAGATAGAAGAGCGGCCGACGTAACAACTTGAAGGTTCTATTGCTGTATGAGTGAGTACCTTGATGACTTTACCTCCAAGGTTGGCAGACGACGTACATACATATCAGACGATGGCAGAAGACCAACGTTCCGCTCTTCTACGAGCATCGAAGCCAGCAACCAAGGAGCTCTTCAGCACACTGATCACGGCGAACCACATCTTGTAGGTGAATCTGGCATATCATATCGACCTATGCCACCGAGCCATCACACTAATCGGCACCATACTTACACTTCCAGGCATTACCACAACGTCGTCGACGCATACGGTCACATCTCCGTGCGCAACCCGCAGGACCCATCAACCTTCTTCATATCGAAGTCCCTAGCCCCCGCGCTGGTGTCCTCGAGGGGAGACTTGGAGGAGTATCGTGTATCCGACGCCAGCCCGGTCAACAAGGATGCGCCGAAGGGCTATGCCGAGCGGTACATTCACAGCGAGATCTACAAGAAGTACGCGGGCGTCAACTCGGTGATCCACGCCCATTCCGAGGTCGTGTTGCCGTTCAGCATCAGCAGTATACCGCTGCGACCTGTGTTCCACATGGGCGGTGTCATGGGTAAGGATGGATAGCTCCATGTAACATAGTAGTCGTGAGTTGAGCGACTACCATGGGAAAGTTACTGACAGCCAATATATATCAGGAGCTCAATGTCCTGTTTACGACATCCAACAACACTACAAGTCATCTGACAACTCGCACTCGATGCTAGTCACCAACGAGCACCTCGGAGCGGGCCTGGCAGCCGGCTTTACACCCACCACCATGATGTCCAAGACGACGAACCTCATCCGGAACTTCGTGACCTCCCAGCCTGCTCAGGCGGTAGACTACCCGCCAAACCCGACGGTGCTCATGCGTGGCCACGGCTTCACCTGCATCGGCGAGACGATTCAGGAAGCCGTGTACCGAGCCATCTTCACCTGCACCAACGCCCGTGTCCAGACGACCGCGCTGCTTATGCAGGGGTCGTACAACGTCGGGCTGGTCGGAGAGCGACTCGGTGGCGGCGATCGGGAGACCGGACCTGCGAAGCATGAGGACATCCAGTACCTCAGCGATCGGGAGTGCAAGGATGCGTGGACGGCGAATCAGGGCCATGCTGAGAGGCCTTGGAGGCTCTGGTGTGCTGAGGTTGAGGTGTCCAAGCTCTATCGAAATGATGGGTACTTGTAATATAAGATCACATGGACCCCCGCGGATTGTGAAACTGGTCTAGCCACTCGCTTTCCTCATCTCCCTGTTGTGGTAGTATTGATTATCTTGTTACCAGTTCAAATTAAGCAATTCGTTCTCAGAGTGAACATGTGGCTGTCCCTTATCAAGGTTCACGATGGCGTCAACCAACGCGTCGCGCGAACCTTGATGGCAGGCAAGCAGCCACGGCCACATGTTGGGGTCCGCTAGGTCTTCAGCTCCCCCCAAATCCAAATGCTGTCACCTTGTGTCTCGAATGCTGTTGAGTGATTAATAAGGACACCTTTCTTGAGAGCGCTAGCGTAGACGGTCCGATCCTTCTCGAGGATCCTCTATTATGTCTTTCCGCGAAGGGAACACTGACAATTTCCCCCTCCCATACCTATTTTTGGTGGACGGTTAGCTGTCTTTCTTGTCCGCCACTACACGCGGACGAGTGCGAGTCGCCAGACAGTCGTGTGTATCCGACACAAGCAGTCTCGTGAGCCTCGCCAAGCCCGACTATTTGATGAGTCCCGTTCGAGAGCCTTCGGGTTATATTTCGATACTGACTGGGACCATGGACGGCGAGGCCCGAGTTGAATCAACTTGAATGGCTAGTTGGAGCCCTTTCGGCCCGTCATGTGTCACCCAGCCTGTTTGAATCACCAGCACGAGAGGAAAATATGAGTATGCAAGTACGGATCTTTCATTCCAAGTGCTTCTCAGAAGACACTGTCCCTTCAGCGGTAAATGCCTCCTGGCGATTGCCGCTCGTCATGGAAGACCTTCTGATGGTGCTCCTCTAACCTATCGCAGAGCCTCTTGCGGGAGTTCCAGTCCCGAATGACACCAGCCAACTCACAGCCCGTCTGCACTAGCAGATCCCAAACACTGCTCTCCAGGTCGAACCCAAACAGCTTCTGTTGGTCCGACTTGGAGCCGAGCAATCTGAGCCTCGACTTGCCGTCCGCCGACACCAGGTCACCCTCGTCCACCAGGTGGCCCGCGTTCATCTTGGGCGTATTGGAGTGCAGGAACGCTGGACGGACCGTGCCCGGCTTTCCTTGGCTCTTGGCAAGATCGTCACTGGGGAGATGCTGGACCATGGCAGTTCCCCGGTAGGATCTCCCGTCGTCTCTGCCAATGTTACCAACCGGTGTCTTCACGCGGTAATAGGTCGCATTCAGAACAACGGCAGCAGCCATGAACGTCTCCTTGTCACCCTGCCCCAGCGCACCTTGACTAAGAAGCGGGTAATATAGATGCCCAAACACGTTGTAGTAGGTGGCCAGCAGAAGAGGCGCGAGATGTGTTCTCTTATTGACCACGAGTTGGCCGGCTTCGCTCGACGTCGCGGGCAAATTCGCGGGGAATCCAGGAACTCCGACAACACTCCAGAACTTGGGCGACTCAGTCGCACCCCAGAAATCGGGCCATACGATGAGCCCACTCGAAATGTACGGCTCCGTCTCGAAGATGTCGGTGGTCGGATCAGCCACGGGAATGCTGTCACTGTCGAGCAACAGCACCTCCTCGAACGAGGAGAACAACAGGGCCGGCGCCTTGAGCTGGTAGTGCCTGATAGCCAGCTTGGCGCCGTCGACACTGCTCTGCGCTAGGATGTGCGCAAGCACGACGCACCGCGCATTGAGCTTGGGGAGGTAGCTTTCGCAGACCTCGACCTCATACTCATCGTCGTCGGGCACGAAAACCTCGACTGACAGTGTACAACCGGCGCGTCGCAGCATATGAATGCTCACAATAGCCGGGCCGAAATACTCTCCGCCACCGACCATAACAATGCCGCGCCCCTGGAATATGGACTCGTCGCCCGCAATGTTCTCCAGCAGCTCTTTGACAAATCGGGTATGCGGTCGGCCGATAGCTGAAACGAGAGACTCCCGCTCGTTGCTTACGAGGTCGTAGTATGGCTTCCGCGACGCGTTGGGGTCGGACGGCTCAAAGATGCTCGCCGTGCCTCGGAGTTGGACGGTGGTCGTGGGATCCGGGCGGGCGTCGTACATGATCTGGCTCCATTTCCGCCAGAAGGGACCGATATCGATGGTCTTGGCATCGTCAACATGGGGCGCATGCCGGTCTTCTCCAGCTTCGTTGCTTATTCGAGTTGCTGCTGCGATCAGAGTCCCGGGGACGACGATCTTGTTGACTGTGGTATAGGCCGACGTGTTGCGAGAGAGGAAGAGGAAGAAGATAGCAAGCGGGATCATCAAGGCCAGCCATCGCAAAGCAAATTGTCGCATTTTGAGAGGTAGGTTCCATCGTCTTTAGAAGCTTGAACTTCAGCTAAGCTTTCGGGTGGGTTATACGATGCCCGCTTTCTCTTTCTCGTGGACGGATGATACGGTGCAATCAATGGCTGGAATGCGCGCGCAAGAGGGGCCAACATAAGTTGACGCGTAAGCTCAAGAACAAACATACCTAAGATACTCGTAATGATGCATATTATTCTTCAAACCCCTAGAAGGTCTGGATAGTGGCATAACCAGCTAGTTTGGCCATGGAGTTGATACTTGGGACTGAAGCGGTTGTCCTCTGCAGAGGCTTGAGCATGTATCGGCCATCATTCAAAGCCCTCATACGGTCTCCTGCTTACAACTATTCGCAACCCAGAGTTGGGCAAGCCCTGATGCTCGACACTCGGCCTAGGAGAGACATACTTGATTCCCGTCTTCATGCTCGGTTCCACCCGGACTGGTCCAGACGGGACTGCGGCCCGGCCCGGCCCCGCCCCGCGTCATGTAAGCTGCTGCTACGGCCAACTTGGACAGCTGCAGGTGGCTGGTCTTGATTGCGCCCTATGGCCGCGAACATTACTCCACAAAACGGTCGAGAAAGCTGCCGTGCAGGGCTTGAGCTTCCTCGTGGGGCTCGAGAACGAGTTTGTCGCCATGGAACGGACTCCCGACGGCCCGAAGATGTACCGCCCCATTGAGCCGCAGACTGCTAGTAAGAGGTGCTGGGGAAAGGTCGATGTGAGTGACTTGATAGGGGCATTGGGACCAGCCGCCGAGGAGGGGAGATGTGAGGTGATTTCTTTCAAAGAAGAGAACGTCCTTGATGAATTATGAAGTTTTCTCCTTTGATTCAGATCCACAAGCCCGAATCGAGTCGACCATTGTCACCCATCGATGTCGTCGACAAGCAATGGGAAAGGAATTTTCATTAGCAACCGCAACCACCGGTGATACGAGAAGGGAATTTTTTTATATGAGTCTGAATGAGGCGTGGGCCGAAGACTTATAGAAAAGTCGTCCGAGCCGATGAAAAAGGCCTGGAATAGGGGTCGAAGATTGTAATCTAGAGACTTACCTCTTAGAGGAGACTAGGCACGTACAAGCACAGCAGAGACACCCAAACAATAAGCACCAACGTAGTAGAAAGTACTGAGATCAGATTAGCACCATAACTCCTGAGCCTATAGGCTCTATATATCTGGTAAACAAAACACAAGGAAAATCAGTCATATCTTACCTGAAGATATATGTCAGTAGAAGGCCTATCAGCACAACCCTCACTATCTCTCCACTCAAGCCAGGACACGGTCAGCAACTCAGCCCAACCCCCAAGCTATCCATCCGCCTTCTCGAAGGCAAAATCCTGCATCCGCGTAACATCCGACGTCAGGCTGTGTCTCCACACATGACATTCGAGATCGAGTCGTCCGGCAGTACGTTCTGAAAGTCGCTCTGGTCGTCTCGCGCGCCCCAGGCCTCGCGCCACGCTTTTTCATCTTCGGCCGTCGCTCTCCTAGGCTCGCAGTCAACAGGCCGCCTCGGCCCCTCCTCTTCGTCGATGGTGTTGCCGTGCGACGAAGACAACGACGGGACGGCAGCGCCGACCCTTGATCCCCTGCTCCCGCTCGTGTGGCTGGCCCGCGAAGAAGAAGAAGCCTGGTTCATCTCGTTAGCACCCGGCGTCTGCGTCCTAGTTCTGGCAGAAGACGCGGATGCCCGACCACCCGTAGGACTCACCGGCGTCCCCCCACCTTCATTGCGGCTACCCGCGCGCGTGAATGTCCGAGCCGTGGGGCTCATCGGCGTCCCAGGACCTTCATTACGACTGCCCGCGCGTGTGAACGGGTTGTCCTCCGGTCTGTAGTCGCGCATCCCGCGGCAGCTCTTCAAGTACTCGCGCTGCGAGACCGACAGCCGCGAGCCCGCGTCCGACTCCAGGAACAGGTACTTCTTGCTGGGTTTTCCCATGGGACCCGAGGGGGGCGGGGCCGAGGCCGAGGCCGGGGGCGGGGCGGGCCAGTTCAGAGGTGGTGAAGACCGCGTCGGCGTGCTGGTGCTGGCGGCGGCTTCGACTGGTTCGCTCACGGGGATGAGAGGGCTCGTCGAGCGCCTGGGTCGATCGACGGAGGACTGGCGCGGGGTTCGACTACTGGGCGGCGGCGGCGCGGCGACTGAAGTGCGTCTGGACAAGACGGATTTTGGTCGCGGCGTGCGCTCGCGGTCTGTCCCGTCGTGCCCGTGGTCTCTGTATCGCGACGGCACACGGGGCACCGGCGGTGGCTGTGCGTCTTCTCTCGGCCCAGTCCCGACGCCACTGGTGTTCTGGTCTACAGTGTAGACGGTCGCGTCAGTCCATGCGTCGCTACGCCTATTCGGGCTGTGCTCCTCTCTCGGGTCGTCGCGATCCTTCTTCAGCTGGAGTGGCGCCGGCACGGCGGACGGAGCGATGATCGAACCGGTCTGAAAGGCCGGATGGATCATTGACATGACCGTGTCGTCCATGGCGAGGTCCTCGTGTGTCTCGGCAAAGCGGTTGGCGTACCAATCGCTGACCTTTGACCGGCCCATCTCTTCCTTGTCCAAGTCCCGCTCCGCAAGCTCTTCCGGCTCGTCGTCGTCGTCATCGTAGTCGTAGTCGTAGTCGTAAGGGTCGCTCTCATCGGACTCGACGGGAAACTCACGTTCGAAGCCCTCGATGAAAGACTGAGTGGGCGGCTCACCGTCACTTGGTCCGCTCAATCGTGCGGGCTGAGGAGCCCCTAGTCGACTGACCGGCATACTACGTGCCGCCTGCTGTCTCCTCCCGACTTCCGAAAAGTCACACAAGCTGTCAGGCCGGTAGATGCTAGCCGTGTTGAAATGTCGGTACAGGCCAGCCCGCCTCTGGTCCTCCGCGCCCTCCCTGTCAGCCATAGCCACCGGGATGCCGTGTTTCGTCCTTCGACTATGCCGCGCATTGCTTGGGACATGGCTCAGGCGCCTGCCCGTACTTGTTCTTCTCAGCTCAGTGTAGCCGCCCGAACGTTTCAAGGCCCGAGAGTGCCTGTGAGACTTCTTCTGCCGGCGCCTCCACTCCCTAATCTGAGGCCGAACTGCCCTCAACTCGGTCAGGACCTCTTCGCTCATCGCCCTACACGCTTGCGCCCGATCTCTCTCTTCCTTGCTGCTTCGCAGGTGGTCGACCCATGCCTCAACCAAGCGGCCAAGGCGAGGATCCCTGGGCGAGTGGCCGCTGTACGCCTCCTGGCGCCTCTCAATCCGGTCCACGACGAGGGCGCGCAGGTCGGCCAGGATCTGTCCGCTGGCGCCCACGGCACCGAGAATGCACGCCTCACAGCCGGATCTGACGTAAATCTTGTGGCTGTCAAAGGGCGGTACACCATAGCATTCGCGGAACAGACGCGGCTCCGTCCACAACGCTGCAATGGCATCCACGCGGCTGATGAAGGCAGAAAGGGTCGGTATCCCCATCCGACCTTCCCAAGAGCGCAATGGGTCGCTGTGCACAGTAGCCTCGTAAGCCAACGCGAGGAACACCCTCCTGATGAGCCAGGGGTTGAGGCTTGCGTGTGTCTTGCACAGCACTGCCTGAGGGTCGATGAGGTCAGGCTCGAACGTGTCTGCAATTTTCATAGCCAGACGCTTGAACGGGTTCGTCGGGCGAAGCATCAGACTTGGCAAGTTCTTCATCCTCTCTTCCTGTCGCTGGAGCCATCTCTTGGAAGGAACAGCAACACCATACTCGGGACGGCGGCAGAGGAGCTTTGTCAGTCGGACGACGTGGTCGTCCGACAAATCCTGAAGGTCAATGCTCATAGGAGCTGGTAGTACAGAAATGTGACAAACTTGGGAAAATTGTTGTGTGGTTCTCCGAATCCGGATTGTGACGACTGTACCAGACAGTCGTATGCGCCAAATTCGAGAGATGTATATATATATAGCTTGGTGGATAGCGTAGTGAAGGAACGTTTGAACCCCGGGAGGAAAGGCAGTATATGAGGTATCTATACCTCTAAACCGCCGAGCCCAGATTTGAGGCACGACAATGAAGAATCCCCCATCAAAGCCTCGAGAACTTTGTCCGGGACGATCAACTCCCTGCCTCCCCAGACCACCCCCTTTGTTCTCTAACATTGACATCAGGTATGGCAGCTCGTCTTCGAATCAATGGCATTGTTCTCGACGCACACTCGTGTTTGCTGAGTGATGCAAGAAAAGACTCGTGCGTTCCATAAAGACCTATGTGTAAGCAGGGACTTCTAGAACATCGCCAATGTAGAAGTACTTACCGGCTTGGTCAAGTGTTTGATTAAAGCCAACCATGGCGGTAGGAGTTGCAGTAAGGGGCGCACAACGACAGAGGTTGGGTGTGGAGCTTCATTGGGGAGCATCAAGTTCCATCAGTCGGGATTTTGCCCTAGGGTGGGCTATATATTGAGAAAACGTCGCGAGTCGTGCTATCTACCATGGCGAACCTGTAGACATTTTCCTCTATGGAAGGTATGCATGATGCCATGGAAACAAGCTCCTAATGCTGGCCAGAACGCCTCCCGGGCAGAGCCGCAACCATAGAACCCTAGAGGATCGTAACCGCGACATGTGCATCATTAACCCTGAATCCGTCCCAAATGTACAGGTTCAATATCGACTATAATGCTGAACAGTCCGCTGAAAAATACGCTTTCGCTATACCGCGGGTGGAACACGTGAACCATGATAGTCGTGTTCCCTTATCCGTTCCATTCGAATCTTGGCCGCCTCCGTACCATCGTCAGGGATAGCAGGCTCTCGAAACCAAGGGTGTTCCAGAGCTTGGCGGGCAGTAATCCGCTTCGCCGGATCGTAGACAAAGATCTTTTGCAGGAGGTCCACAAAGCATCGTAGAAATGGGCTGTTGGGGGCGGGGATTATGTCCTATAAACAGCTTGTCAGTAACCTGAGCAAATGGATCGACGTCGTCAACCCCCTAAATAAACTCACGCAAAGTCGCTTCATGGCACGTACGAATCGTCTTGAGGCTCGTGTAGTCTCGGTCCCAGGGTAGTCCAACTTCAATCTCTTGAAGTACCTAAAAGTCGGGTCAGCACAAGAGAGTTTTAATCCAGGACGCGGAACATACTTGGAAGCGGGATTGCCACCGTTACGTGTAGCCATCTTGTTCACAGCTTGTATGAGATGAGTATCGATCCGGCTATCACAGACGTTCTCCATCATCGCTAGATGTTCGAGGTTATCGTGCGTCTGGAAGAGGGCGTCTCCAGTAAAGAACTCGACCAATATGCATCCGATACTCCATATATCACAAGGGAACGACCAACCTAATCCGAGAATGATCTCCGGCGCGCGGTAATGCCGTGTTGAGACGACGGAGGAGTGATATTCATCTTGGAAGGTCGCTGACCCGAAATCTATCAACCGAATCTCTGTGTCGAGAAGCACCTTGCGTTGGTTGGCCTGTCGGTTGATGCCAGTTGAGGAAGCCGGTATCCGGCGGTTGTATGTGAACGTCTGGTATGCACTATCACAGAGGAGAATGTTCTCGGGTTTCAAATCGGTGTGGATGAGGTTCAGGTCGTGGAGGACTACAAAGTCAGCAATAGGCCAGCAAGGAAAGAAGGTATTACCCACAAGCAACGCTGGTGAAGAGTTGTCGAGCAAAACTCTGTATCTGGCTGTTCGGGAACGGCACGAAGTTGTTGCCCTTGAGAAAATCAAAGACGCTCGAGCCGAGAAGGTCCATCACAATGCAGATATGGCCTCGATAATCGAAGCAATCCCGGAGATGGATGCATCGATTGCGGTTCTCGTTGTCGTTAGCCTTGAGGGTTTGGAGGACTCGGAGCTCAATCCTCGAAGCATCTCTGTACTTCTGAACTGCTCGGATGATTTTGATGGCGACCAATCCACCCCTCTTCTTGTCCCGAGCCTGGACCACCTTGCCGAAAGTGCCTTGCCCGAGCAGTTTGACCATTTGATCTGTCGATATGTTAGACGTTATCGAGCGCGAATGTCAGAGGAGAGGTGGACGAACATTGTGATGTCAGTTCAGCATCAGGGACCACTATATAATGGCCGTCGTCGTCGTCGACTTTGACACCGCTTTGGTGCGAACGCTACAAAAGACTAGTCAGCGCTTGAACTTGCCTACTGTTGAACGTGGGCTTACCTCATTGACTGGTCGGCAATGGACTTCGCCGCACTTCTTCACCGGTTTCTGAGGGGGCCGGTAGCTGACAAAAGCATCACCTAGGACCTCAACCTCTCGCCTTTTCGCATCCTGGGCGATCTGCTGCCGTGTTCTCTTCCGTTTCTGGCCGGTCTGTTGAGACTCGAATTCGTGCTGGCCATTCGAAGACAAAGAACCGAGCGAAGTGGCAGCTGTCGTCTGGTGTGCTGATGTAGTACGATCAGTTGAGGCCGAACCACTATTGGGGCTATGGTGTTGCGAGCCATTTAGTCTGGCGTCATAGACCCCAGCACCGTCATCTTTCCTCCTCTTCTTGGCAATATGCCGGGTACTCTGGTCATTGGCTGAGCCGTTCACGTGGCCATTCGTATACGGTGTTGAAGAAGCATTCTGGTCAGGCTCGGGTGTGTCATCAATGACAATGATCTCTCTGGGAAGGCCGTTCTTGTAGAAGCTGTTCCAGTCAGGCTCTTTGGACCTCCGACGTTTCCTCGGCTGGCTGTCGGCATGAGTTTGTGTGGCCGAGGCGGCCGAGGGAGGCATCGCGGCGTGATTGGCGTCGGATCTCGGGGTCGAATTTGTTCTCGATGAGTCTTGAGTCGGTCTTGCAGAGGCGACGGAAGCAGCTACTCCATTTGGGGGGTATTGGTTGGCGGAATAGACCGCGTTGGTGGTGTACGACGACGACGACGGTACGTGATGTCGATTGGAGATGGGCGCAGCCGAGGCTGTCGAAGACGGGGTAGGCAGGCCAGGGTTTGTGGCAGTAGCAGACGAGAAAGCAAGTGGCCGATAAGAAGCGTCGCTGGTCTGCAGGTGTGGGTAGGGCGGATAATGATGGTGGTGGTGCGGGTGATGGTGACGGTAATGGGGAGGGAGGGTGGCCGTGGCAGTTGTCGGCGTTGACATTGTTGGAATAAGGGCCAACTACCTCAGCGAGCGGCGTCGTGTTGTGGGTTGAGGTGGTAGAGGCCGAAGGCGAGGGCGAGGGCGAGGGCGGGAGCGAGAGAGGAGAATTGGGTGAGCCGTGGAGGTGTGAGGTCAATGGTCGGCGGTGCTAGGCGCAGGCGCTGCAGGTGGTGCGGGCTGGTACCAGTGCTCGTGCCAGTGCCAGCAGTGGAGGGCGGAGTGCTGTGGCAGCTGGATTAGGGCCCTTTAGGTTCAGAGCTGAGCCTGGCAACAGGTGGTGTGGGTTGTGCGTGCACCTGCAGCGATTTAACGGCGCCGTGCTTTCCTCGTAGTCGCGGCGTTCTAGCGTCCGTTATAACCTTCCAAGCCCTGGGGCGGCCAGCTACGGGGAAGTAGTCCGCTGCGTTTGGGCGCTCTGCAGCACTGAGAGTGCTGAGAGTGCTGAAAGATAGCGGGTTTCTGTCCCGTCTGCAGGTGCAATACCTAACTGGCAGCAGCAGGTCAACCCAAGCTGATGATGTCTTCCAACACAACAAGGGGAATATGTTCGTTGAACTCTGTTTGTGTCCCTTCTCTTATCTATTTCACAAATTTCTCCTCCCAGAATTGTTTCTCTGGATCGGCTGCTTGGGTTCGATTCGTCTTAACGCATTGGGGCCGGATGGGTTGGTTCAGCTGCCGATGGCTGACGTATAATAAGCCGTGACCGACCCGGGCGATACAGGCAACGCTGCTCTACAATCGCAAGAGTTGATACTTCCCAGATTGGCAGGAAAGTGCCGGTTCGTCGGAGTGCCTTTTTGTTTCGGTCGTGATCGAGCAGTCAGGGGAGGGACGGTTGGCCAATTCGCTTTCGCTCGAGTGAGCGAGCGGTATTGCAGGGAGAGTGAAGTTCGATTTCGACAACAGGGGCCGACCCTACCCTGTTGTTGTCTGAATGCGCCTATGTGCGTACCTACAGTAGTCGAGGCACTTGAGCACAGAGCATTCTTTCCCTCGTCGAAGTCGTCGAGGTCCCGAGGAGAGCACAAAGATGAACAGAACAGCAAGACGGGCGTTTTCTCTGGTATTGGCAGGTGGTTTGACAACGTTCACGGAAAGTGATGAGGCAAAAGGACAGGAGGGGTCTCGTCGTGTGAATCTAGGTACGTAGACCCTCCTCCTCTGCAGCCGGTGTGCTGTGAGCTGTACAGTCTTTGCAGGGCACTGAGACGAAGCACGCACTGAGCCCACGTGCCTGCGATACCACATGGAGTACAGTATCGGACAGTACGTATCGGCTTAGCCTGGTGGATGAAGTAATGGTGGGCCAACCGCTCACTTATTAGAGGTCACCCGAGCAACACTCAACTGCATTTCCACAGTGTTCGAAACTTCAGGCTGAGCGCGGAGAAGGGGACCTCGGCCACCAGTCTCGCGCCTCTCAGGCGGCAGAATGCTGCCTGAACGGACAGAAGGACAGTATATATCAGCCTTTACAGTGTAAGGGTTACACTGTCTCGGATCACACAGTCTGGACATGTGGTACTCGGCACCATCTGTTCTGGGCACAGTGCCTGGGCCGACACTCCAGACGATTCCTATCGGATCATTTTCACCACAGGCATGTATCATCATGGCAACAGCTATGAACCACTCATGATGATTATTATCAACCTTAGTGTCGAACTTTGCCTCGATGCTTTTTCGCCTTCGAGAGGGGTTCCGTCTCAGCAGTAAGCAGACCTCCACAGACTACTTTATAACATCGGGGGGAAATACATGTATTTTCATGTTTCAAGCGCCCCCCCATATATACAAGAGCATGCTGACAAGTGCTGATGGTTGACAAAGACAGCAGACTACCTCTTCTCACTTGAGTGTTCTATCCTGTTTCCTATCCTGTGCCTTATCGTTGTGTCTTGGCATCTCATCCGATACCACGTAAACTCCAAGTTACGTATGTTCGATCCCTTACTTTCTACATCCTGTCGGTTGGATATGTATGCACTCGGCTATTCACAACCTTCGTTCACAGAGTGTCCACACGCTCTAGAGCTCGAGAGCCTCGACATGTGGTGCTTCTTCCTTCTGCCCCTTGCTTCTGGCTGCCCTCCTATTCGAGCCATTGCTGCAATCGGAGTCTGCTGGTTTACGTTCTTGTCGCTGTACAGTTTCGTCAAATATGACAATTGTGCTCGTTGGTGGACTACAAGTCATCAGACGACCCTTGAATCTTGCGTTTCCTCCAAGCCGATTCAGGTCGACCCTGAAATCGACGTGGCTTTGGCACGCCTATGCAGCTCTTGCAGTAGCTCCAACCCTCACTCACATCCCCTAGCACGGAGATGGCCCTCACGGCATCCCGTCGATATGGATCCGACGGGCAGACAGGCAGGCCGACAGATGCTGCAAGTGAGGGGCCCATGCAACATATGTGATAGGTAAACGGCGGGATCTTGCCACTTTCAACAGGTTTGGCTCCAGACTTTGGAGCTGCCAAGGACCTGCAAGCTGAGCGAGGCAGGATCATGTTAACCAACAGCAGCTAGACGTATCTTCAGGCAATACCCAGCACCACCAAAAGATGAAGGGCGAGTTGGTTCAATGTGAGGACTGCCTCCGGGCTTTCGTTTAGCACAAGGCAAGGCACAAACACTGTGGGAGCGAAGTATGGTCACTCCATCTGCAGCAAGACTGGAAATCCGTGTCGTTGAACTTCAACTGCCTACTAACCGGAGTTATAGTTTCTAAGCGGCCGCTGAACCGGGCCTCACTGCCTCACAGCTCTAGGAACGGGGTTCCATATTGTAGCCTGTGTGGCAAAGCCCCAAAGGAGGGTAGGATTTCTGCTGTCATTTGTAGAAACTGTGTGCTTCTCGAAAACGCGCGAATCATTCGCCATTACGTCGCTGCAGCTCGGTGGTATGTTCCCTTCACCTCCCTCATCAAGGTTTCCGCCGAAGGACCGTTTCCTCCACTGCTGTGCCACGAATCTAGGGCTGCTAGGATTCCCCCAACTGGCACTGCACTGTACTGCACTGTACCGAAAGGAGTCAAGGCTCACGATGACATGAGCGGTAGATCTGGGGGCGGATCCATAAACGCCATCATGCCTGGACAAAATAGGAAGGGGAAACGCCAATTTACACGGTCCCTACCAATAAGCCACAGTAAGACGCGCTACGTCAGACGAGCGCTCGTGAAATCCTCCCTCAGCTTTTCATCAGCTCGGGCATCGGAGGCTGATTGCAATCCTGTCCTGGCCGTCGCACCGTTAATAATCACTTACTCCTAAAGGCACGGCAATTCACGGTTGCCTGGCTGATCAAAACATATGTGACGACAGATCCTGAATTTAGAAGTTGAAGGGCCCTGTGAGCTGTAATGTGACAGCATGGAGACGGGAGGTCTGACGTCCCGCTCCTCCCTCCATTCATCCTGTTCGGACCCGATCAGACGTAAGTACTGGACCCTTCCATCCCCCAAGATCACCATCAGCCATCAGCCACGCACGCAACAGAACTCAGTTGCACAACGTCGGCTACCTACATGTACCCTACCCCTCTCTGTCTGCAACGTATGCCACGCCAGAATGCGCAGGACCAACAGCGGCATTGCTGCAACCCAGACACGTCGTAAGGCGATCGCTGTAGCGTGTCCAGCGCCTTGAGCAACCCAGATGAGACCCGGGAGCCGGCGCTGCTGGCACGCACATCATCAGGCTCTCCTGTTTCCATCTCTGATATCTGTTCCTCCAAGAGACGGATTACCTATTCTGCAGGTCCCGACACGCCGGGGTCCATGTCATGCATCCATCATGTAGTTTATTAGTGACCCTACGCCGACGCACACGATTTCTTATGCCGGGATCTTGCAGCGACTTTGCCAGGATGGGCCCTGATACAATCGGCGCCCTGGCAAGCTGTGTGTGACGAGTCGGGTCCGAAATCCTCATATATGTACCAGAGTGACGGAAATGCCCTGAGATGATATGGTAACATGTTTCATTCCGCCTCAAACGCCGCCTAGCGAAACTCGCCAGCTCAAAGGTCTCTCCAATGAACGCCACCAGCCATGCGTCCATCTCTCTTTCTATCGCTCCAGGGTAGGTATGTCTAGGTCAACTAGATACCGCGATTAAATACAACCATGCCGCCATCGCCACCCCGACCGCGGAACTCTTCCTCGAGACTACCAGCGCTGATACGCTGGCGTTGCGGGAACGCGGCGAGGGCAAGCGGCAGCGCGATGTAGCTCATGCCGAGGATGAGACCCAGATTGACAGGCAGCGTGAAGCGCGGATTCCCCTTCAACCACTCGGTGCGCTGCAGACGCACGAGGATCAGCGGCGGCACCACCATGATGGGCGTGCTGTTCAGCACGCGGCTGAGCGCCGTCTCGCTAACCGCCAACTTCGCTGCCTTCTTGCTCTTGCCCAGACTCGGCACGTCGTTCTCGGCCCTGCCCTCGGCCGCCAGCCGCGCCCTGTCCTTTTCCGACAACACTGGGTATACGTCGATGCCGGTGCGCATCTCCTCGCCGCGCATGAGGAACACGTTGAGGGCACCGGCGGACGCGACGGCCGCGAAGGGCACGAGGCGGCCGAGTACCAGCTTCGTGGAGGGCGAGACGCGCTTCAGGCGCGGTACGAGCGAGTTTAGCCCTACGGCTACCGAGCATGAGGCGCCCACGGCGAGGAAGTAGGATTGGGCCATTTTCGAGTATGAGAGCGGCGTGGACTTGTTCGCGTTTGCGTTATTGATGGCGACATTGAGGGATTGGTTGGCTACTTGCCAGAGGATCGTGCCGGTAGTCTGTCGGAGCTCATGGTTAGCTGGTCGTCCGAATTCGAAGGTGAGGGAGTAAGTAGCATTTCGCGAACCTTCAGACCTGGTGTCAGCATGCCTGCCGTGACGACCAGGTTCGACAGCGCGAAGCAGGACATTCTGAAGGGGAGCAAGACGGGCTCTCCCGTATCTAGCAGTTCCAATTAGCTTTTTCCATCTCGGGATTGACATTGAAACCATGTTGCCGGCATACCTGGGTGTAATGTAGAGTCGACTATCTTCTTCGCCTTCCACAGCTCCGGCGTCATCTCGTGGATTTCCCCTTGCTTATACGCCACCACCAGCTTCTTCGCATGCTCAAGGCCATTCTTTCCAGCAAAGAGAGTCCTGATCAGAAGTCCGAGTTAGTCACTTTGCAGGTAGGGAAGTAGACATCATGGTGTGGTGTTTTGGTGACCGCTGGGCGTTGCGGGTTGTATAGAGCTCACCTTGGGTCTGTGATACCAGCGGTCTGCTTGACGCGCCCCCAATAAGTATCCAGATCGTATTGCGACTCGGGCAGCTCACGATTGCCTGGCAGGGAGGCCGACATCGTGAAGCTCTGTCGCTGTCGCCCTATTTGCGCTGCTGCTGCTGCTCTTGGAATGCCACCCGCAACAAGGAACGAGCAAGAAATGAATGGATAGCCGAGTTTCGACAGACAATCAATTGGGCTTGGCAGTACTACGCTGAATCACGCTGAAAGTGCATAGGAGCTCTCTATTGTCATTGGTCTTCATAGCGGTGAGATGGCGAGCAGAAACTGCCGCACGCCGATATCGGGTGTCGCCAGCCCCACCCAGGTCCTGGCACAGCAAAGCCGCGGGCGGGCTGGTCTCGAGTGCAAAAAAGATAAAGGTGCAACAATACTGTGCTCGACAGATACCACTGGATCGATAGAAATCGAAAGAAAAAAGGACCGACCCAGACGGGATTCGAACCCGCAATCTCCAGAGTGATGATTTCAACCGAAATCTGGCGCGATACCATTTCGCCACCAGGCCATCTGATAAACTGTGTATGCAATTGATAGAATAACATGGCCGTATGTGGGGCCATACTCGCCGTGGGCTATAGCAGAACTTGGCGAGGTTTTGCACGAATCAAGATCAACGCTTACGAGCCAGACCTTTTGGTTCCACACTTCACAGCACCCTTTAAGCGAGAGGCATTCTGCGTATTAGCACACTATCCTGATGCTTGACAGGTAGATGTCTTGGCGTCGCCCATGGAAGAGACGTCTTATGTGAAGAATGCGTGAATCTCCACCCCTGAAGGAGATGGCATGCCACTGTCTGTGTGCCTCGGTAGTTCGTAATTCGCACCTGGTGTGCTCCATTATGCACACAAGGCAACTAAACCTTCCAACTAGACAGGAGACCACTCAACAGCACCAACCTACCGGGGGTCCTTCATACATTCGCCATGCTCATACCTCAGTCTCACTCTATGCTGATCTTGTCATCTTCTGACTGGATTAAGTCCTATCAATAGACAATCGTCTATTGTCAGATTGATTGACAGCGGCCAGCTCTATGAGTTCTTAGACCCTTGGTTGCGATACTTCCCTCTCAGGATGCTCTTAAGACAATCATGCCAACAACCTCGGTCAGAATGCTTATGCCAGTTTTTACTCTCAATGTGACAGGTTGGCAACTGGAGACTTTTGTGACATTGCAGCATGACCTGGAACTGGCTTTGTCGCGGCGTCCTTGAGATACTGTAGCTGTTCAGCTTGCAGAACATTGGCGACAGGTATTTCTGTTTCACTGGAGAACGATCCAGTTGGGACACTCACACAGGAAGAGCAAAGCCATTCCCTCTAGATCTTGAGAAAGCAGTTCCTGGCAGAGAGCTCAATACCCAGCGCTAGAGAACTGATCCTGAAGGCTTTCAGTACGATTATGAAGAAGAGCTGGCCGAACAAAGGTACGGTATCTCTTGGATACCCACTCCAACTTCTTCGCAGGCCTTCACTCGTCAACTTGGCCACGAGACAGCCACTTATTAGGAGTATCAAGCTCAGGACGATCCCATATCCCAAAGCTGAGGCATGCCATCAGTGGAATCCAGCAGATTTCGATAAGCCGAGACCGCGTCTTTCAGCTCGACACGCTTGAAGAAATGGATTACATTCAGAGGGTCCAGCTCGACATGCAGAGGACATCGTCCCTCTCATCTAGGTGTAGAATAAGAACCTAATCCCGTCCTTGAACGAGGCCGGGAATGGATGGTGGCCATTGAGGAGCAGCCATGAACAGTGAGCCAGCACCACCTGCCCTACTCATGGGTACGCGACTCTCAGACAGCGACCCGTCTGGAGGCTTTGCCTTGCCTGGAATTCCCCCTCGACCTCCACCCGCAACTGATGATGATGATGAGGAGGAGGATGAAGAGCTCGAGCGATCGCAATCACCCGCAAGAATTGAACAGCACAAGTCTCTCGAAGGAGACATAAACACAGTGACCTTGACTTCTATCCGATGCCGCCTTCGCCTTGTCGAGGAGCACCAAGGGCAGATCGGAGCATCAAGACCTCAAGGTACGGCAGACGCACCCGAGACCTAGTTATGGCTGTCATGGGATGGTGAACCAAGCGAAGTTTAGACGAACAGAACCGCCCAGATCCTCTTGCTCGACCTGCTTTGATAAAAGTCCGCGACAGCAAGAGGTGATATAAATCAAGGCCCCCAGATTCGTTCACTCTGCCACGATGTCTCTGCGAACGGGACAAGCGACCGGTGCTCTTCGATGGCCGGAGAGGTGGTATGTGAAGCTCTCGTATACTAAAGCCTTTTTGATAAGACCGATCTAGCGGCAGATGGATAAACGAGTCCCACTGAGCTCCGCCTAAAACTCTTCACCCACATACCATTACGTGCAAGAAACCAGCTGAGTCGCGCAAACCCGCACGGAAGTCAATCGGATCTCCCGATGGACCTCTGCGTATAGAAGTTCACTTACGAGGTCAAGTACTTTATGCAACAAGCGGGGTTAGCTCAGTTGGGAGAGCGTCAGACTGAAGCCACAACTTCATCATGATATCTGAAGGTCGTGCGTTCAATCCGCACACACCGCAACGCTTCCTTTTGGCCGTTGAGTCTTATTTATCTACATCCGTAAATAACCTTGGTTCATTTTTTCTTCCTTCAAGACTCTTGGCAGAACAGAAGCTCTTTGATACACGAAGAGTGTTAGTTATCCTCCTTCGCTTGACCGTAGCAGAGGCAACATTGATAGATAGATAGTCTTGGGTATTCTAGATAGGGGTGGTCTGTTTCATAGCAAAGCCGTGCCAATTGTGTTGTGGGTATGGTGATGTTATTCAGCAGCGGATAGTACGCATACGCACCAATAGATCGAGAAGTGTCCCTAAAAACGAAGAACCCATACTGACGGGCTGGCTGTACTGAAGGGCTGACTGTCCTTCAACTTGTTGCTCCAGATACGTCCCTGAAAACTTTGAACCGAAGACCGTAAGAGGCTGAGGTAAAGAAATCAATCTTCAATGCTTCAGCAGTGGTGAAGACTATCTACTAATCCCGATGTACCAGATTCTTTACTTTTGGGTTCGCAGTAACGAGTAGGTGAAAGATGTCGCTAGCTCGACCTGAAAAGAGCGGCGAGAGCAACGCTTCCAGAGCCTAGTAGGCTCCAACGAGCTTATATAGATCATTGACACATATACACATCGAACAGAAACAGCATCGAGAGAGTGGGTGGTGGCGTCGCGTGGTCAGGGGCTTGGTGGCCGAGCGAGAGAAAGGCAGTACCACAAGTATAGAACGAGTCACCTATTCAGCGCATGGTACACTTTGCATTGTCGACCAGTCAGGTAATTTTTGGTTGATGTCGCCTGCTGACACTGGTGGTGTCAGTGGAAGCGGCGGCCTGTCGGCCCCTGAAATGCTACTCACAGCAGCTCTGCCTCAGCGAGAACCTGGAGATGGCCAACAACCACGGCCGAAGACGCCATCTACCACATGGTACACTGCGGCACGGAGACGGGCGGCATCTGCAACGAGAACACGAGCATCGTATCCAGTTACCTGTCCAGCAGCGGTGATTGGCAAACGATGAACCTCGGGATCGACCGGATGAATACCGACTGGAGCCAACAGCGACCTGGTACGCCGATGGGTTGCAAACTATGTCGCTCATGCCGGGCGATGCGGCGAAGGGCCAGGCCGCGTGGGAGGACTTGGCTGTGAATGCGAGGATGATCTGGCTAAACGTGGCCGGGACGGTAGCTTCAATTACTCGGATTCTGGGCAGACGACGTCTAGTAGTAGCACCTTGGGCGGTGCGGATGTTGGCATGGAGGTTGAAAGTATCGCTGCCTTGAATACTTAGTCATACAGATACGCCGGACTGCATTCATCAAACATCCTTACTTCTATTACCTACCTTAACTTAGTCATACAGATACGCCGCACTGCATTCATCAGACATCCTTACTTCTATTACCTACTTTGACTTAGTCTCACAGTTTTGTTTGTTTGTTTGTTTATTTGTTTTGTATTTAACGTGGGGGGTAGCTCCTCAGTAGTGCAAACCACGCCTCCCAGAGCCTCTGTATCGCAGGGTTGTGGAGGTCTCAAGAAAATAAGTACAGTCAGTCCCGCTCACGGGCCCATCCCCGTTGTTGCGGCGGTATGACCTTGGGGTCATCCATCTGGTCCTTCAAGAATAGCTATCTATCGGAGACAGATTGTTGAAAAGAACTTGCTCTTTTCCACGAATTTTGCCCATTCTGTGCTCCTCTCCCTTAAGTATTGTAAACAGGCTGTCCTAAGCGAGTACCTAGGCAACAACCGATTTTTTCCTAGCCTCTTACAAAAGAAAATATGTTGTGGTGTTTTCTTTTTACCATAGTTGCAGTGGTTGTTCGAGTCTGTATGCCCAAAGCGTTCGTGGTATCTGGCAAAGTCGCCATGTCCAGATCTGGCCGCTAGAAGTCTGTGTAGAGTGCTCTTCTTAAAGGATATAAGGCCTCTTTCAGTTACTGCATGTGAGTATACTTCTTGATACCTAGATTCTGATTGGTCTTTCTACCATTAGTTGAACTCTTTCTTGCCCTTTCTTTTGAGATCTCTCTTGACCCAAGAGATTATAGGAAGGTTTGTTATGTCTGTTTTTAACATGGTATCCTCTTTTGTTAGTGTGTCGGCAGCTTTATTGCCATCAATATCTCTGTGTCCAGGAATCCACTTGACAGTCATTCCAGGAGTGTGTGCTGTGGCAAGTTCTTGAAATCGTAGAAAAATGTTCTGTGATGTCTCAAGTGGAGTCCCATTGAGCCCATTTACCACTGACGTGTTGTTCAGGCAGACATATAGCTGTTTTCCGTGTCCAATTGCCCTGGTTGCTACAAGACCTTGGAGAGCACCATGGACTTCAGTATCTACTACTTCTGCTTGGAGAAGTCTGCCCTTTCCCTGGTATACTTCTTGTGTAGTGCTGCCTTTCCTGATGGTATAGCCCCATCCAGTGCGGGTTGTGCCTTGGTCCTCCAATTGTGATCCATCTGAATAGATGACAAGGTCAGTGCTC